CCGCTTCCGTCACGAGCCGCTGCTTAATTTGGGCTGGAAAATGACTGCGGCTGTAAAAGCTTAGCGTGAAAACATGAGAACAGCCGAGACTATTATGCTTTCATTACTCCAGCAGTAAGGTAGATTTAATGTTTCTGAAAGAAGTCTCTTCTGCTCACCGAGGCTGCATTTATTTGATCAAAAATACAGTAAAAATTGTGAAATATTATTAGAATGTAAAACAGCTGTTTTCTGTGTGAATCTCTGTTAAACTGTAATGTATTTCTGTGATGCGCAGCTGTATTTTCAGCATCATTACTCCAGTCTTCAGTGTCACATGATCCCTACAGTGTGTACTGTAGATAGATAGACAGATATAGTTATATATATATTAAAGCTCCAAACTGTTAAATTGCTACAATTAACAAATACAAATTTAAATATGTGACCCTGGAGCACAAAACCAGTCATAAGGGTACATTTTTCAAAATTAGAGATGTAAGCTTTCCATTGATGTATGGTTTGTTAGAATCGGACGATATTTGAAAATCTGGAATCTGAGGGTGCAAAAAAATCTAAATATTGAGAAAATCATCTTTAAAGTTGTTCAAATGAAGTTCTTAGCAATGCATATTACTAATCAAACATTAAGTTTTGATATATTTACGGTAGGAGATTTACAAAATATCTTCATGGAACATGATCTTTACTTAATATCCTAATGATTTTTGGCATAAAAGAGAAATGTATAATTGTGACCCATACAATGTATTGTTGGCTATTGCTACAAATATCCCCCAGCGACTTAACACTGCTTTTGTGCTGCAGGGTCACATGCCAGTGAAGAACTCATGTCACCAGAATCTACATTTCATAATTTATCATCAGATTGATTAAAATAATTCATCAGTATGTGATACAAGCCCTGGATCAGACGTCAAATGTGCTGTTTACCTATAAAGGCTCACACAGAGCTGTGGTCAGGTGACTTGCTTTGTTTCCATGACGTCAGGTTTAATAACACGCCTCATTGGCTGTGAGCGGCGTGTGGCGTCTGTGTGTTCAGAGATGATGAACACTTCACTAACCGCACACAATCGGCTCTGCAGATGTGCTGTTTGTGCTTCAGAGGAGAGAGGAAAGTGTTAGTGCTGTACCTTGCAGGCACGATACAGGTATTTCTTGTCCTGTGTGGCGTGGTAGAGCGAGAGCAAGGCGTATCCGTTCCCCGCCGTGCCGTGACAGAGTCCATAACCCTTCCTCAGTAAACCTCTCTGCCAGATCACCTCTCCACACTCAGCCGCGTCTCGTAGGTACTTCTCATCCTTGAAGACCTGAAACACACACGCATTGAGCTCCTACAGTTTCTGCTGCACTCATTTGATTTCCTCTCAGAATCAATGACAAATCAGACGTATTAAGCTTTAATTATAGCAATTACATCATTACAGTCAAATGCAATAATTGCAGACTGTGCCCTGCTGTGTATATTTACTGTCATAACACTTTTGTGTGAGTGTGTGTGTGTGTGTGTGTGTGTATGTGTGTGAGTGTGTGTGTGTGTGTGTGTGTGTGTGTGTGTGTGTGGGTGTGTGTGTGTGTGTGAGTGTGTGTGTGTGTGTGTGTGTGTGTGTGTGTGTGCGTGTGTGTGCGAGAGAGAGTGTGTGTGTGTGTGTGTGAGTGTGTGTGTGTGTGTGTGTGTGTGTGTAAAAGCAGGTCCTGCCGTCTATCTTCATCTGTCAGAGCTCTGGTGTAAAAGTTGCTGGAGGAAAAATTCACTTTCCAAATATAACACATGTTCACATAACACATAACACATGCTTCCCGTCCTCAGGCGACCCACAAGTCAGAGATAAAGACACAGACGAACACAAAATGAGAAAGAGAGAGAAACACGACCCATATGTTCATTCTACAGTGATGGAGAGAGAAAATAAACTCATTAAAAGTGCACAGACTCTTTCACACAATAAAACTCTTTTTTTCTGATTCTATCCGACTACACATTTAAATGTGTGAACAAAGTCAAGTCAAACTTTTATGTGCAAGTGCAACATTTTAAAATATCACTAAGATGCCTTATAAAAAAATAAGGTTATTATGTTTTAAAAATGTGACTCTGTAAGTGAGCACTAGATGTCACTGTGGGCTGCTGTTTGAAGAAATAAACTCACACATGACCTTAAGAGTGAGAGGCAGACAGACAGCGAGACAAATGCATGCCATTTATTCCCGTTTCACTTCAATGGCAGATATCAGTCTCTCCACAGAGAGAACGAGCTGTTTTTTCAACATCATAAAGGAACATAACAGGATATTGTATTTATGAAAAACAGAGCCCATGTATAGAAATGCATGAGTGCAATATGTGCTGTAAATCTTGATGTGGTGTGATCATGCTATATACATTTCTATAAATGAATGTAAACAATGAGTATATTCATATACTCTTGAATGTGTACTGAGATGATGACGGTGTGTGTGTGTGTGTGTGTGTGTGTGTGTGTGTGTGTGCGTGTGTGTGAGTGAGTGAGGATGTGTGTGTGTGTGTGTGTCTGTGTGTGTGTGTGTATGTGAGTCTGTGTGGGGTGTGTGTGTGTGTGTGAGAGAGAGAGAGTGTGAGAGTGTGGTGTGTGTGTGTGTGTGTGCGTGTGTGTGAGTGAGTGAGGATGTGTGTGTGTGTGTGTGTCTGTGTGTGTGTGTGTATGTGAGTCTGTGTGGGGTGTGTGTGTGTGTGTGAGAGAGAGAGAGTGTGAGAGTGTGGTGTGTGTGTGTGTGTGTGCGTGTGTGTGAGTGAGTGAGGATGTGTGTGTGTGTGTGTGTCTGTGTGTGTGTGTGTATGTGAGTCTGTGTGGGGTGTGTGTGTGTGTGTGAGAGAGAGAGAGTGTGAGAGTGTGGTGTGTGTGTGTGTGTGTGCGTGTGTGTGAGTGAGTGAGGATGTGTGTGTGTGTGTGTGTGTGTGTGAGAGAGAGAGAGAGTCACTCACTTTATGAGTCATGATGAGCATATGCAGCACTCCAGGAGCTCCGTGACACCAGTGCACCAGTCTGTCCGTCTCGTTGCTGAGGGATGATGGGTAATTGCCCGACCGGAACTTCTTGTGCCGCACGTAGTCCACACTGGGCCGGAGCAGCTCATTCAGAGTGTCCTGACTGACTTTAGCACTCGGCTGTGAAGAAAGACAAAGTTAGACTGAAAATTGAGTTTAAAACGTACTAAAAAACAAAACAAAAAAAACTTTTTTTTGTCTAGATTGCAGAATTGAATAAATTATATAAAAGCAGTATGAATAGCCTTCTTTTCTGAATTAAATTTCATTTTGATATTTTTTGGGGGGGCATAAAGTCAAAAAATATCTAAGTGAAACTGTCCTGATATCATATAAGTAAAAAGCCTCATTAAAAGATTGAAATTAATGAAAAGAAAATTGTATTACTCCAAGTACCTTTGCACAATATTTTATTATTATTTCTTATAAAGAAATAGCAATAAAGCAGTTTTGTTACATTTATTTATTTAAAATCAAATGTTTGAAAATGTTTTACCATATGGCGCAAACAAGAAAGGTATGTGGTGCAACTGACATTTAGAACATATTAAAATATCAAATAATTTGACCTTGTTATGTCATGTAAAATGTCATGTTGAGTGACTTCTCAAAAGCATAATGGCATTTATGAATGAATAAGATATGTTAAAACCATATGAAAGCAACGTGAATATGCATTTGCAAGAACTTCTCTTCTTAGGATTTTATCTAGGATTTTTTTTTTGCGAACAGCATGTGTATTTTAATGGCACAGATTTCTGAAAAATGAAATGATATCTGAAGTGTTCAGCACAGCAGCATCAAGCCTGTAGCTGCAGATGCATTCAATGGTTCATTTCTGTTAAGACCCACATACATCAATATGTCTGTAATATTTCTCATTCATAGTGTCCACTTACAGCAGTTAAAGAGCGCAGCGCTGTGTCAGAGTGAATTTAAGGACGTGAGGCTTGATAAAGCACTGAAGGCTCCCACTGAGCTACAAGAGCTGCTGCTGTCCGAGTTATTAAAGACTAAAGGAACGCTTCACACAGATCCTCTAACACTGCTGCTGCTACTAACTGGAGTTCATTTCTGCAGGAAAATGCCCTTTAATAAAAGCACAGCTGGATCTGTTGCTGTCACTGATATTACACTCGTTTGCAGCCCCACAGGTTGCTTTTACAGTTTCAGCAAAGCAAACCAACGCAGCACCATCACGGCCACACAAATATTGACATGCTGCGGTGTGAGAGCGGCCACGCTGGACATCTGCGTCACCATGACGCACGCTCCCGTTGCCTTGCCAACCACTAGCACGCCACACCCAATCAGCTCGCTGCTCCTCCCGCCAGCAGCTGCAGCAAACTTCACAGCTGTTTCTCATTTGAGTTAACACACAACACTGAGACTGAGCTCATCTCTACTGCTTCATGCTGCTCTTATTTTAATATTAGTGTTACCTGCTCACCAGCTGTTCAGACAGGCAGCACGAATGATCCCGCCTGTCTGATGTTCAATTATACTGTCAATGTACTAGTTTAGCATTCTGTTAGCCGATTAATCTGCTAGGTTAACCTATACCCAACACAAAAGTTCAATTATACTACTCAACATACTATATTAGCATTCCGTTAGCCAGCTAATCTGCTAGTTTAGCCTATTCCCAACACAAATGATTTTTTTTTATCCTGCTCAGCATACTATCTCAACATTCCGCTAGCCAATTAACCTGCTAGCAAAGCTTGGACTCCACGCAAATATTCAATTATACCACTCAGCATTCGAGCTTAGCATTCTGCTACCTGGTTAGTCTGTTAAATTAGTCTATACTTGACACAAAAGGTTAAATTATGCTTCTTATATACGCCTTGTGTTTTTGTTTAAGATTGGCCTACGCCAACAGTTCAACAGTTCCAATGACATTAGTCAGCAGCAGGCACATTTTCTTCAGTAAATTTTAGAAGTGTTTTGCCTCCCTGTTGCAGTTCAGACAGCCTAACACTGCATTTGCTGGAAGCCTAAAAGGTTCCTTCTTCCAGTGCATGTGGAGATGACAGATTTCCGAACAGAGGCTTCATGTCGCCAGAGGCTGGAGAAGAGAGGACGGACAAAGAGGAAAAGAGATGCCTCCCTTCTCACACAGCACTGAATTACAGCACAAAGAAAGCTCTCCCAATGCGCCAAAACAACCCTCCCTCTCAGAGAGCGATCTGCTATTCCTGTTGTTTCGCGATGTTTAATGTAAGCACTGAGCTAGTTATAACCCTGCCGCACTTCACCGCCGTGAAGCTCTATTGCCTCAAATTACATCACAATCCTCCAGGGTTTGATTCTAAACAGCCAGCTGTCATTCAGAAACCCCAGCGCTACGTCTCTGTTAGTGCCGCTGCCATAGAGCAGACTAGATCATTTACTACTGCCGCGTGCGCTACTGCACGAGATGAAAAATTAGGCATTTTAGTGCTTTTCGCCTCCGCTTTTCACTGTATAGCCTGGAAATGGTCCATAAAGATGTAGCTTACATAGGAGCCGCCTGCATATGGGGTCTTATAAGGCTTCAGGGAAACCCATTAGAGGAGGCCGCGGTAGCAAGAGGATTAAACTTCATAGGAAGCTGTAAAGATGTATGCTAATGCAAGCAGATGACGTTGCATTCTGGGATGCTTTTTGAAGGAGCATTGACAGGGTTCTCAGTTATGCCAGGCTCCACTTTAAGTGTGTCCAAACATCTAAATATCTATGCAATTGCTCTGGAATGGCTTCAAAACTGTGATTTTTTTCACTCAGAGGAGCCATAATTTGGAGCAAACATCTACTGCAGCCAAGTAGATCTGAAATATTGACACAGACAGTTCAAAATAACTCCCTCACGGAAAGAGAATAAAGACGCACCAATATTAAAATCCTGACCAATATCAACAAGCTGATAATGATTGTCATGCTATGAACATTAACCAACAAATGTCTGATATTAGAATTCTATACTATTTTTTACTATTCTATTCTATATGCTATTACTATTTAAAATAAAACATTAAAAGCTAAACCGAATAATTTTAAATGCTAAGTGAATTTAGGCTTTACAACATTATAAAGTACAGTAAAAAAATGGACATTCGATTTTACGATTTACTAAAGATTTCATTTAATAGTGTTATTAAACTATTTGTGTTTTTAAATATTAACTGACCATAAGTGACCATGAGATGATAGCAATAGATGATGAAATGGGGAAATGAGCATGCACTTTATTAAACAGCCAGATTAACTACTAATTTAAATAAATTAAATTCTTATATATCATTCTGTCACAATTTTCCGTGGTGTACCTCAAGGATCCATTCTTGGTCAACTTTTATTTATAATCTTGCTTCCTCTTGGTCAGATCATTCAGCGTCATGGTCTGAACTTCCATAGCTTCGCAGATGATACACAAATCTATCTTACTCTCCAGCCCAATTCTGTTCTCCTCCCCCTTCCATCAATTCCTGTCTACAAGATCGCAATGCATGGATGGCTGAAAACTTCTTAAAACTGAATACAGACAAAACAGAAATCAAGTTAGTAGGTTTTAAATCCCTAAATCTCCTCCCAACATGACATCTCCACTCATACTGACGGAGTTACAGTAAATTACCCATTATACAGAATATTATTTGATTCTAAAATACGGTTTGAACCTCGTATCAGCCAGCTTGTTAAACTCTGTTTTTTCCACCTTCGCAACATTGTTTCATATACGACCTTGACTAAATAAATCTCAAAGATGCCGAAACAGTTATTCGTGCTTACATAACCATGACCATCATCACCATCTGACTGCCTGTTCACTTTGTTGTTTCTAGATTGTATACCTCTATTATTTGTGTTATTTGGCAATATTATGTCAAATGTCCTTGGGATCTTGAAAGGCACTATATATAAATACATTATTATTATTATTATGATATCATGCTTCCCTAAAAAGAACAGACTTAAAGACAATTTGTGCTTGTAAAAAGCTTTCGGAACACTGGAAGCACATTACAATTATGTGATTTCATAAGTTCGCTTAATTTAACATCAACACAAGCTTCACAAATATAGAATTTGGAAATGAAGGACTCACTACTGTCAGATCACCAAGTAGTACAAACTTTCTACTGTCATTTATTCTATAGTACGATTCTTTGATGAATAGAAAGTTCAAAAGAACAGCATTTATTTGAAATAGAAATCTTATTATAAATGTCTTTACTGTCACTTTTGATCATTATAACCTGTCCCTGCTGAATTGCAGTATTCTTTAAACTAACACAGTAGTGTGTCCCTGCTTGACTCTTTGCTTGGAGTCACAATTTGATTACAGATCTGCATCTTTAAACACTGATGTGATTAAAACTTCACTAAAGGGGTTCGATATTAAAACTTAACTTACTTAAATTAAGCGGTGTTATCTGTCTCACAGAGGGCAGAAGGGTGCAGTGTCTGCATTAAAATCAGCTTCTTAAAAATGTGAACGATGCATTTGTGCGGCCCTCAGATCTGGGCTAAACGCGTGCCATAGTCTTTCCGGGCAGACGTCCAACAAATTCTGTTTACAGATCAACATCTTAAAGTTCAAGATAAATTATTCATCACCTCTGCGGACCTCTAATCAATCTTACAGCAGACCGCTGTTAACTTTAGCTAATATAAGAAAGAGTACAAGAGTTTAACATTTTAAAAGAAGGAAAAAATTAACTATTTCCTCCGCTGTTTTTCAATGCCTGGTTATGCTTGAATAGATTACTTAACGTTGCATCCATCAAATAATTGAAAATGTGTTGCATGTGACAGAGAATGCTCCCTGATGCAAAAGCGAGGTGGCTGGGGGGGGAACAAAATCATTCCTGCGCACTGTGATCTACAGCTGCACAATCAGCTATTTTAAAGACAAGAAATTAATGGAACAAAGCGTTCAAACAAAAAGGCAACACTGGCATGTTTTCTGGAAGCCTCAGAAGGTTTGAGCTGGTGTGAACCCTGACAGTGTTTAAGTGTGTTTGGTTCAAGCCCGTCCTTGTTCTTGTAAAAGGCAAAAGCAAGGCACACTGTAACTGATTGCACATTAGGGCCGGCCGGCATAGCAAACAGTTACAATATATTTTTGTGTTTGCCATTAAAAATTAAACAACCTTGTGAATATCATATATTTAAAATATATATATGAATATCTCATATACAGTATGTATAATATATATAGAATATGAATGTGTGGCACACTCCTTGCAAAAATCTTGCTTTTCACTGGAGGAAGAGTTATTATGGATTATAGACTCGTATTTGAGTTAAAAGCGTCTTAATGCTGGATGTGTTTCAGCTTTTGTCTTCTCCAGATGTTAACTGATGGACTGGAGTGCTGTGGATTATTGTGATGTTTTTATCAGCTGTTTGGACTCTCATTCTGACGGCACCCATTCACTGCAGAGCATCCATTGCTGAGACACTGATGCAATGCTACATTTCTACAAACCTGATGAAGAAACAAACTCATCCTGATCTCGGATGACCTGAGGGTGAGGATTTTTTTAACAAAATTTTTGGGTGAACTATTGCTTTAAGCAAAATCAGGTTCATGGTAAATTTGGCTTCCATTTGTTGCACATTATCTATAAAATTTAATTAATTAAAAGAATAACAACAAAATCAGAGTCAGACGTACAAAGACACCAGTTTGACTTAAGCTCAGATTGTTGTTATTGACATTGTGCATAAATTAGACATGGCATTACAAAACTACAACAATCCCTTTTCAATAAAACATGCATCTGCGGATCAATCTGCTTGGAACTCATTAGGACCTGCTGTAATTAGTGATAGGCCTAGAGACTAGCTTTAATATTATGCCCCTTTTTACAATATGTAATATAAGTCTCTGGTGTCCCCAGAATGTGTCTGTGAAGTTTCAGCTCAAAATACTCCACAGATCATTTATTATATCATTTTGAAAATGCCTATTTTGAGTGGAAGCAGAAACACGCTGTTTTTCGGGCCTGTCTCTTTAAATGCAAATGAGCTGCTGCTCCCCGCCCCCTTTTCCAGAATAGAGCTGCGCCATTACAGCTCGCACCTGCTGAAAACATCTGTTTTGGTTCTGATTATCATGTTTATCTCGCTGAAATCATGCGTTTTAAACCATATGAGTTTAAACTTCTGATATAGGGTTTTCTGAGCGCACACATCTGAAGCACACGCACAGAAAGCGGCTGTCACAGCATGTGAGAACTAAACTAAGCTCTCATTCACACACAAGTTTACGTTAAAAACACGGAGATCAGTTAGCATGCTTTGCTCAAACTTTCTCCATAGCATTAGATCTAGTACACCGTTGTCGCTTGTGAAAACACAATAATGGCGCCGTGAGTGGAAACTTACAGATTAAGGGGCGGTAATATTATAATGAGATCTCTTTGCCACGTCACCAAGGGAGCGTTTTCTCAGACGCTAGCCGAAAAAGGCTTACCTAAACAAAGTTACTGGGTTAATCTTTTTCATGTTTCCTTGGTTGGTAGATGCACCGGGGACCTGATTATAGCACTTAACACCTGGAAAAGTGTTCTCATCTCATTCAGCAATGCATTCATCATACGTCCGTGATTAGTTACGACTCTCAGCTGCTGCACAAAGACTTCAGAAACCTTTGGACTGACAGGACAAGAGTGGACCCAAGATGAATGCTGGTAATTAACAATTTGTTAGCAGCAGATATAATCACAACATCAAATGTATAGATGCTTCACTGCCAGATACAACAGACCTATAAACAAGGATGGGAATCATAGGGAATTTAACGATCCAAGTTCTGATTTTTTAATGCTTCCATTAATGATTATTTTACTACTTTTGTGAAAACGTTTGGAAAAGATGCAAGTCCTATTGCACACACTACCCTCAGCAGCCCAGTTCCATATGATGAGTTCATTACAAAAAGTGTGTTTGCAAACACTTTAAAACGATGTCAGTCTTACCTGCATGAGCATGTAGTAAATGCCTGCCAGACCATGAGCTGCTCCCAAATACTGTTTCTTATGCCACTCGTACAGCAGCGGGCAGCGCTCGGCTTTCTTCTCCTCTTTAGACAAGTTCTTCCCTGACTCCAGAACAGCAGTCACCACCTGGGAACAAGAGAGAGCACACTGGGGTCAGATAATGGTCTTGTTATGGATCAAAGCGTCGGTCACTTTCCAGTAATCAGCAGGTTTATTCACAGCGGTTCAGCAAGGGTTAAAGAACTGATTAAAATACGCCGTCAGCAAATGCAAAGTAACCAAATGACTGCACTGCAGCAATGCCACGGTGAAACCTAACACAACTGTCGAAAAGGCTGCAAATGTCACATCTGGGCTATAAAATGTGCTAGCAAAGACTATTGTTAGGAGAAACTATGTGTTCAGAATGTGCATAATAGTGAAAACCACAAACTGCTGTATGGAAAACAGTCATGCATGGATTCTTCAATTCTCCTTTTGTGTTGAACAGACTAAATAACAACATGAGGGCAGGTAAATAATGACACACATCACAAAACCAGACAAAAAAAAAAGACACAAGAGACGCAAGCAGACAGAAGAAGATGAGCATTTTGAAAAAAAAAAAAAAGTTAAACATCCAAAAAAAAAACAAAGCCACAAAAACTGACAAAACAAAAACCCAACAAAACAAACCCTTAATAAATCAAAAACTCAACAAAATAAATTTTAAATCATAATCTTAAATTATAACCATCCCCCCCAACTAAACAAGCAAACCCACTGAAAGGTTTTGATTGTGTCTGGCAAACCTGATTAAAATGTGGAAATGAAATGAAGTGAAATGAGATGAAATGAAATGCCGCCCACAGCTTTCTGAACCTCTTTCTCTGCCGTTCAGAGAGAGAGACACATGACGGATGGGATCAGACACGACACACGGCTCTCCGAGAGTGCAAAGCTGCGTCATCTGGGGAGCACTGCAGCGACAGACGGACAAATAAATCTGCTTAGTCATGAAGCAGAAGACGACAGATCAACTAGGAAGTGATAGATCGAGGGAGAAGAGGAGAAATGAGAGCAGATACAAGCAGTGAAACACAGATTCAAAACCAGATTCGGAGTAACTGCATTTGCAGATAACGTCGCTGAGGCCATTTCAGGCAATGGACCACCATACTGGGCAACGTGCATTCAGCACAAGCGATAGATTTACCCAGGGATACGAACGACCTCCGGCCAGCAAAGATGAGGCTAGAACACTGTGCATACTTCAGCGTGATCAGCTACGATACATCACCTACTGAGATGAAGACTGCAGTCACTGGAGAAGCATCTGCAGTTACTATCTAACAATCTATTTTCAGATGCAATCAACTGAGAGCAAAAATACTATCACTGTGTGTGTCATCTGGAGTATTCATCATGCTATAAAGACCAATTAATTCAAATCATAAAAATGATACAAATGATTTAAAATTTAACAAAAATATCTATTTTTAGGGCCTTAAGAAATATGTTTTATATTTTTCACAAATTCGGTGTGTTCAGTTTTAATGGTCTAATTAAATATTAAAGCATAATTTTGAGCTATTCATTCAAAATCTGCCTAATTCCGTGACATTCTGCAGTAAATTACATTTTTATGACTGCATTCTGTGGCAATCATAGGTCCCTAATATTGTGTATAAGCCTACTTGTTTTTATTCAAATCAATATTTTTATGCTTGTTCATTTGATTATCAGCTAACCACTGTGCAGTATTTACAGTATTTTGTAAACAGTTTTATTCAGGGATATACAGTATGTTACTGCAATCTCACACTGCAGCACATCTGTTAGTTTACTATATGGGTGTGCGATATGATAATATCATATCATGATCAGCAATAATTAACATCTGTTTCTGTGCATATGCACTAGTGTCAGTTTTGACATGAAAAGCAGTTATTAACAATAAAAAGACAATAAATAAAAAAAGGGGGGCAAATCGTGGCCCAAATCATGCAACACAAACGCATTACTGTCCTTCATCTCGCTCCTCTCGTCTGCCCACATACACTGAGAAACTGGACACTGGCCAACGCACAGACACTATAATGAATGACGTACAGTAAAGCAGCCCACGAGAGGCTAAGCATTTACAGTGCAGGTCAGAGGAGTAATGCATCTGCTGCAGACACACACACACACACACACACTCTCTCTCTAGAGACACACTCTCTCTTTTTATCAATGGATGCATTGTAATGTATTTTATCAATGCAAGTTTTACTGCCTGTTGTACGTTTCGTGTTTATGTATGAATAGAAAGCAGCTTTGCTCATGAATAGCGTGAGAATCACCTTGGCGATGGTGGCCTCGTCCACCGCGTCTGGCCCGATTTCTTTGCTGACGTACAGCAGGGCGTAGAGGTACCCGGCTCGTCCGTACAGGAGTTCATCAGGAATGTCTGAGTCTGGACTGAGCACTGAACGCTGGAGCTGGAGCAGTCTGAACCACAGGACAGGAGGAGAACCAGTTATAACCTCTGCAGCACAGTACTGACCTCAGCACACTGACATCAGGCTAAATAACACGTTTACCAAACACTTTGTGCATCACATCTGTTAAACACAACAGCCATCGTGTTTCTGTGTTGCTACTGATAGGACCTTAAAAAAAATTGAATTTATCTCAGAGTATATCATATATTTTCAGACACAAAACTTAAAAAAGTTAATATTTTAATTGATACGAAGTATGAAACTGTCAGATGATTTGAGTCAATGATAGTGTCATGTAACCTTGATTAAATAAAGAGTTAGAGTTCAAATGGTTAATTTGTGTAAAGAACATTCCAGCAATCCCTTCTGATTATTTCACAGTGAAAACGTTGATATTTAAAAAATGAAGAGTACTTTTAGATTTGCAGATACATTGTGGAATATGTTCTGTTCTTTGTCTCAGTTATCAGCACTGAATCAAAATATATATATTTTTTACAGATTTTTTTATTTGTTTAAGAAAAAAAAGTCTCTTCTGCTCACCAAGGCTCATTTATTTGATCAGAAATACAGTAAAAACAGTGAAAATTATTAGAATGTAAAACAGCTGTGTTCTGTGTGAATCTCTGTTAAACTGTAATGTATTTCTGTGATGCGCAGCTGTATTTTCAGCATCATTACTCCAGTCTTCAGTGTCACATGATCTTCAGAAATCAGTATAATATGCTGATCTGCTGCTCGAGAAACATTTCTGATTATTATCAATGTTGAACACAGTCGTGCTGCACAATATTTCTGTGGAAACTGTGATGCATTTTATTTTTCAGGATTCACAGATGAACAGAAAGTTCAGAAGAACAGCATTTATTTGAAATAGAAATCTTTTGTCACATTATAAATGTCTTTACTATTTTTTTTTATCAAATTAATGCGGCCTTGATGAATAAAAGTATACATTTATATATATATTTTTTTTTTTAAATACTCACCCCAAACCTTTGCATGGTAGAATATATCTGCATTATATCAAGCACCCTACTCTCTGGTTTAATCTAGACATTAAAAATACACACAAATAAGTTTAATGTAATTTGAACAATATGTAGCATTTCTTCTTCTGTTGTTGTTGTTTTTTCTCCTTAACCTAAACCTGTGTTTGAACAATGCAATGAACTGCGAGCACTTTGAGGGCAGTGCTGGATGAGGGTTTGCAGGATATGTAATCAGGCTCGTGCTGAGAGCTGCAGTCGAGCAGACGATCTATCAGAGAGAGTACAGAGAGCACAGCACGCCGCCGCTGAATAACACACGGACACACGAGAGCCAGAGCGTTTCACTACCACACACAGACACGCCTCAGAGGAGCAAAGGTCATTTCCACCTCCAGCTCTTCGATCAGAATCAGTGTTCTCCGCACCGCTATTCTGCCATCAGACGAAGCGTATGAGTGCAGGACAAACTCTAGTGCGTCAGGGGCCGATGACAATTTCTAGAAATCATAGTGCCTAATAATGCAGTTTCTGTAGACTAATACTGTAAATATGAAGTTAAAAGCATCAGCGTCATTGAATCAACACATCAAACACATGCTGGTTTGGTCTGGCCAACACCGATGGATGGAGTTTTGGTTTCTTTGGCTTGTTTAGTTGGGAACGCTTGACTGATTGCACAGACACTAGAAGAGAGCAGAACTGGATGATCACATGAATCATCAATGAACTGACTTGAGCTGAAAAATTACTCTTGCATTATTAACAAACTATTTTCCTGTTTGACTCTGTAAAGCTGCTTTAACACAATCAGTACTGTATAAAGCGCTATACAAATAAAGGTGACTTGAATCATTCATTCAAACGGCTGATTCATTAAAAAACAATGAGTTAATGAGTGAGTCATTGAATCATTGACTCACACGATTCATTCAAAACCATGGATTCATTCAGTAATGAAACACCGCTGTGCGATGATGAGAGATGCTCAACAGTTCTGCTGTGGCTTTGATTGGAACTACTTTATCTTTTTTAACTCAACATTAACTTCTTGTTTATTGGACTGTTGTATAAATCAGCATCACATTTGCAGCGGTGCAGATATTGTGGAGAAACAGCACTCTCGCTGGTGTGATATTGCTAAACTACATCATATGATATAAATATAAGAGGGTGATTTTTGTCCTCATATCTTGAATTTTAGGCTTATATAACTGCATTCTGAATAGACTCCATCAGTCAGTCAGTCGTCCTGCATCATGATAAAATTAACGCATTTAATCATGCCTCCTGACTGTAAGAGTGAATTTTCCAATGACTAGGTTAAAACCACAGATAGCTTCCCCAACCACACTTCCAGAGAGCAGGCAGTGGAAGCAACCAGAGAAAGCCAAAGATTAAAGAGACAAACGGAGAGTTAGAAATGCTCCTTACTTCGTGAGGCACTCCTGGGACTCGGTCTGGTTCTTTAAGTGGTGGTGAACGACTGCGCCTACAGCTAGAGGCCCGGCGTCTCCACACAAGAAGCTGACGCGCCGTCCGTTCAGGTTCCTCAGCGCGCGTTTGACGTAATCCAGAGCCCGCTGCAGATGCGGGGCCTCCTGCGTCGCTCGATACAGCTGCAGGTACAGCAGGGCTATGCCTGCCAATGACATTCACCTTTCAAAGCATTTACCCCCACTACAGCATATTCAAAACATCTAACATTCAACTTTACTATTTATTATTTCCCATTCATTTCATATTAGGGTTTGCAATTTTCTTGCCACATCTGAAACATTTAGATTCTGAATACAAATCAAATAAACCCCAATTTTCTAGAAATAACATTAAATAAACAAAAAAATAAATAAATATTATTACATATATAAATAATGTATAAACTTAAAACAAAATCATAAACTTTTACATAAAATTCACTACATTTAAATGACATACAATCCATAAAGAATTGCCAAAATTATACTAAATGAAGGTATCAGTCGGTAATAACTAGCCATGTTTGGACAGAATGATGGTTTGTAGTTAATTAAAATATATATTTCCCAGAGTTGGATGGTTGAGCTTCACAAATGCAATCAATACTAAAATTTGAACACTGAATGAGATTATTTTCTTATCTATGCTGTAGGATCCAAATAATGTTACTTTAAGAATTTAAAGGAATGTTCTTTTGTTTTTGTTTTTTCCAAACAAAAAATTAACAGCACACCATTTTATACCCTATTGTGGGTATAAATAAAGTCCATAAATCTCATTATTTTAACTGCTTGGTATTCACCTGACCAGCCCGTGTAGGTGGAAAAATCATGTGGATCTGCAGTCTTCAGGCCCTCCTCCATCTGTTGAAGAAGATCTGTGATCTTGCTTTGCACTTTCTTCTGAAAGGCATCGCTGATCTATTCTCAGGGAAGGAAAAAAAGAGTTTGTAAGTAAGCTTCTAAGCTTCATTTGGCAAACAGTTGTTTTACTAATGAGTTCACATAAAGAGACACTGGCACTGAATAACGTACAGCATTGTGTTCGAAAATGTTGCGGGCCAAATACAGAGCCCTGTGGAACCTCCATCATAAAATTCTAAATATATGCATATGCATACCCATGCGTCAATGTAAACTGTACTTTAGATACTTCTTTGGCCCTGCAATGCAACATCTCAGTCTCAGCCTCGAGGCACTGCTCGGAGAACCACTGATAATATTACACAGAGTCATTTCACAAATATTTGCAAACGTTTAACAATAGAGTCACAAAGAGACTAGCTAATTGTATACGAATCAACTGTCATCTGTGATTTGCTGACAATGGTACAAAAGGGAATGTGGCACGCTCAGGATCCTGGTGTTCAGCCTGATACAAAGAGCACATTTGAACACAGAAGAAAAAATATCCTTTTATTCAGACTGTTTACTGACATGGGAAAATTCATAATGTGTATTGCTATCTCTGAAGGTCTGAGTTCAATAGCTCAGGAACCTTTGCCTACACTGCAAAAAAAGCTGTTAATAAAATGCTGAAGTCAGATGATATAACTGACTCAAAATTAATAACAACTATAATAGTATCTCAGTGATACTGTCTAGCTACTTTTGATAAAATATTGGTTTGTAATGTATATTTCCCAGGGCTGAGTGATTGAGCTTACAAATGCAGTCAATGTTTAAATGTGAGTAAACATTGGAAAAAGTCCAAATTGTGTTACTTTCACAATACTAGACTTTTGCTAAGAATATGTGATGGTTTTTGCCCCATGATGCTCGGGTGCTCTGGGTGGTTGTCAGGATGTTGCTATATGGTTTCTAACGCGATCTGTGCGGTTTATAGTGTGTTGCAATGCTGCTGTTAAGATGTTCTGCTTCTAAAACAACAAATACTGGGAAAAGCAAAGGCTTTTCTTTAATGCACACATACAAATTCTACGCATTACATAGCTGTTACTCAAAAATACCGATGAGCATTCTGATGCGTTAACTTTGCTGAGAATAGAGGCCTGCTGCTGTCTGAAGAAAATTAAATAATAAGATGTATTTCTGCAGAGATCCACAGCACAGGAATGACTGACAGCTGAGAGACCCTGCTGAACCAGAGATATGAGAAGCGAACCCTCAACCACTGCTGGGAATACAAAGAGAAAATCAGCACAAATCTTCTGCTCTTTCCTCCACAATGGAGAAAACAGAGATCAGACAGTAATACCATGATAATCTGATATACAGCATGTGCTGAATGATTGCCATAATCATGTACCATGTTTTTTTTGTTTTTTTTACATGGCTCTCCAGTGTAGTTCAAACAATAGCATGGTTCTTTCATAGTGGATGTCCAAATAACCATAGCAACCACAGCTTTTGATCAAAATTTGACGATGCCAAAAAAATTGTGCTGCACATTTTGTGACACTACAGTTTCACAAGCCTGTTCCTGCAATGGAATTAAAAAAAGGTAATTGCTAATTTTTTTATATTGCAATTCAAACTTTGTTTTTGTTTTGTTTTCCTCAGAACTGCAAGACATAAACACATTTTGTCTTACAATGTCGAGTTTACATCTCGCAATTCTGACTTTTTCTTGTAATTCTGAGTTTACATCTTACAAATCAGAGATGTTGTTTTTTTCTTTGAATTCTGAGTTTGTATCTTGTAATTCTGAGAATTGTAAGAAAAAAGTAAAAATTGTGAGATTAAAAGTCACATTTATCTCTCAAATTTGTTTTTTATTCTGTGGTGGAAACAAGATTCCATGAATTTTAAATGAACATAAAAGCAAATGTGAGTTGTGTTCGCCTGTGCAAACATCACCATCGTGATGCTAGGGTGTTGCGAGTGGTCGCCAGGGTGTTGTTATGCAGTTGCTAGGGTGTTGTGAAGGGTTGCTAGGGTTTCCAGCCCAGCGCTAAGCACAGCAGCTATGGCCCTGTCCCGATGTGCACTGCAGACTTGCAGTGTCTAATCTATGAGGACAGACACTAGCAGTCAACGTTTGGAATAAAGATGTTTTCATGTTTCTGAAAGAGTCTCTCCTGCTCACCAAGGCTGCACTTATTGGTTGTAATATTATTTACAACCAATATATTTATATTTATATTTATTATGAAATATTACAATTTAAAATAACTTTTATGTTTTGACTTTAGCAATCTTTGTTGCGTTATATGCCAATGGTGACAGAACAAAAGCGGGAAAAAGCACTTTTCAAGGTTTTTTTTCTTCTTCCCAAAGTTTGCATGACTGTAACGAAGTATTAAAGATATCTTAATGCCCTTTTATATTTTATTTCTTAAACTTTTCTTTTGGTATCTTCATATTTTGATCCTATATGGTTCGGTTCCAGAGATACTGGGATCTCAATACAGCTCCAGGAGGCTAAATAGTTCAATTGTACACATTTTAATTAGTCAAAAACCAAATGTGGGTCACTTTGCATTCCGCTGATACTTTTATTATTTTAAAGAAGAATGTCTGACCGGTATGAGCTAAGCAATTGTTTTGAATTAGGGAAACGAGATATATTTCTAGTTTCAACATTATTTGTTCTTCAGACATTTCTCTTTAAAAGTAAAAGCATCTGTATGCAAAGTGACCCACATTTGGGCTCTTGACCATCTGTATGAACCATATAGGGCCTTAAAAATGAAGATACCAAAATAAAAGTTTGCTAAGAACTAAGATTAAAAAAAGGATATTAAGGTATATCTAATACTTATTGAGTTACAGGCATGCAAACTTCGGAAGAAGTGTTTTTCCCCATTTTTTGAATGTCACCACTGGCACATAATGCAACAAAGACCACTAAAGTCAACAGATTATTAACAAAAAGTATTAACAACACCTTACGCTTTGTTTTCACATTCGCTTAATTTTCAACATTTCAATAGGCAAATGATTACAGTATTTCACTAGATTTGTAATGAGACGCATTTGTAAACCTGTTCTCACAGAAGCTGGAGTCTGCAAAAAAAATTAAAAATGCTCAAGTGTTCATCGCTTGCAAGCAGGACCTAAAATGAACAGACACGCACAGAGAAAATACCGTAGAGGCACAGCACTGTTTACTGGAAGAAACATATCAATATTGGGGTTTATATGAATATATTTCTGAAGGGAATTGACTGACTTCAGAAAAGATTTGATGGCATTTTTTTCCTCCTTACTTTAGTGTAATGCATTTTAAACTAGTTAATAAGCGCAGCTGCTTTGTTTACATGGTAACCAGGGAAACGCTGCAGTTCTGCTGTTCCAGAAGCGCCACCTGCTGTTACAACAGACAGCTACAATCTAAGCTAAATGCATTAATAACAAATTGTTATTAACTATTTTTTAATGAATTATTAAACATATGATCTAAACAGCTACATAGACATAAGCCATTTGTTTGTTTGTTTGCATATTATAATACTTATTAATGAAATGAGCTAATGAGGCTGTGAAAGTGTGTTTCCAGATCACTTCATTAAATGAGTTTCTCACACGCGTCTGCTGAAAATCAGACTGATCTCATGTTTGATTTGACAGCAGCTAACATGTTAAAAACAAACCAAACAACGCGAGATCACACACCCTCCCACCAGCGTCGAGCGGCTCGTTCGCGCCGCTGTGCTCCGCAGAGCTCGGGGACCCGGAGAGGCCCTGCTCCCGCGGCTCCCGGTCCGGGAACGGGTTGATGAAACTGCGCTCCTCCATCTCCGACTCGGAGCCGGTGACTAGCTTCAGCCGCTTCGACATGTTCTCGCCCATCGCGACTGCGGCCCGCCAGGGACACTTTCTCTCACTACGGCAGAAACGCGTTTCGGTCCTGATGCTGCTGCTGATGATGATGACGCTGGGTGAGGCTACTGATGAAGGTCAGGAGTCACTCCGAAACACTTCAGGGCTCTGTCCCTAGAGAAAACGTGTAGATACTTTAACAGAACCTTAATTAGAAATAGAAAATCATATTTACTGCATTTATTGGATCAAAAATACAGTAAAACAGAAATATTGCAATTTAAAATAGCTGTTTTCTATGTGAATTGATGTTAAAATGTAATTGAATGCTACTTCATTTATACTTTTTTAGGATTTTTTTTCCCACGTTTATTGTTTTTAGTTATTGAAGTGTTCCCTTTCATGGGAACTTCGAACTGCTTCCTCTAGGGGGCGCTATGGGGAACGCCTCGTCGTGACCCGTGTCTGAAGCATACATTGAAAAAACACCAACTCATTGGCTGGTGACAGCCCATGACGTCACTACCGGTGCAACTATAGTATAAATAGGCGCCGGGAGCACACATCATTCTCTTCTTCGTCTTCACTGACTGCTTTGTTTGAAGCATACATTTGAACGTGGTAAGAGCGATCTCTATTCATCTCATTATGGCGAGCACTAGCAGAGCGTTTAGAGGATGTGTGCGTCCGTGTTGACGTTGTTTAACATCTGATGACACACGATCTATGCGTTATTTGTTTGGGTGAAGAGCATGCACGCGATGTCTCCGAGGGGGCAATCGGCGAGCGTTTTTTCCAAGGGAAAAGCTCCGCTCTCGTTTGTCTCTCTTTTCGAGGAAAGAGGGGCAGCCATCTGCTTCCCGCGATTCAGGACCCGCCGCTGCTGAGGCACGGAAGGGAATGAGCTCGTGATCTGGCTGATGAGTTTGAAGAGGGGTTTTCCCTCTCGCGATCGTCGGCTGTGCACGAGAGTGAGCCGCTGGAGGATGGTGTTATTTCATTAACATTGTCTGATTCAGAGGCCAGTGCTCTGCTGGGATCAGCCCAGCAAAAGCAGGAAATGTCTGAGGATGGCAGAGAAGTTGAGGCTGAGCCTTCCCAATCCTCCTGCCCTGCGTATGATGAGCTTTTGAAAGTTATGGATCGCACCACGGCGAGGCTTTATTTGCCGTGAAGCGGGCGAAGAAAGTGACGTTGCGAGGTATCTCGATGAACGTTATTTTTCTGGCCATAACCCTCCAGCTCAGGTGAGCCTTACTTTCTTCCTGTTTCCATATAAACATTGAGAAGGAATGGAAGAGGCCGTTTTTTCCTCACGCATCCATCGATTCCAGCATACGAGTTATGCCAACATCGAGACGATGCGTGAAAGCGGTTATGAGAAGATGCCCCTATCGGGAGACTCTGGTCAGCTATCTCTCTATGGGTGAGACGTCCTCTCTTAAGACTCCCCTCCTTGACATCTCGCTCGAATGGCAGGGCATACGCAGCCGCAGCAGGTCGGGCTGGCGCTTCATTGCACATGATGGTGATGGTCCAAGCATATCGGGCTGACCTGCTGAAAGACCTGGATAAAGGCGAGGGCCTTCCTCTTGATGAGGTAGTTGAGTGCGCCGCACCATGGATCTCGCTCTCTGTGCTACTAAGCAGGCCGCGTCTGCTAGTGGCAGGTCCATGGTGGCTATGGTAGTGACAGAGGGACATCTGTGGGTGAACCTAGCAGATATCGGGGAAAAAAGAGAGGGGCTTTCTTCTCGATGCGCCGGTTTCGCCTTATGTATTTTTTGGTACCTCCTTTTTAGGCGGTGGTCGAGAAGTTCAGGGAGGCAAAGGCGCGCTCAGCGGCCTTCACGAAGGTCCAGGTCTGAGCCCGAACAACATAAGGGTCCTGGTCCGTCTCGGTCTGAGGATCAGAGACGGGCACAGAAGGCTTGCGCTCCTCCTCCACCTGCGGGTAGGGGTAGGAGGAATCGCGGGTCAAAGGGAGGTAGGCAAGACCTTAGGGATGTGATCCAGACAAGGTGTCAGCGCTTTCGTCCAGATCAGAGTGATACTTGGGTATCTACTCATTTCCTTCGGGGGTTTTACATCTGCCCTTTTCTTCCCCTTCCTAATTCCCCTATAACCACCAGCACTCCACCTGACCGAGGTTAGGAAGGAATTTCCTGCATTACAGTCTCCTATGCTGGACCTATGATGTTTTGGTTGGTTCTATGACTTCATAGCAACCACCTTACTGATGGTACGAGCTAGAGGCTTCTTTGGAATCGCCTCTGGAACGGGGTTCCGGCGTGGGAACCATGGTGGGTGAGTATAATCCATTCTATATATACAGTATATACAGTATATATATGTGTATATATATGTATTTATTGTGCTGGTGGTTATGTGTGTATAATCCTGCTGTGAGATTTATTTGCAGTGTTTCCGGGACCTGTGTGTTTCTGTCCTCTCTAAGGTAGGTCCTCTGTGAGCACACCTTTGCTGGATTCAGAAACCAGGTGCTCGACTTGCAGTATTACCTCACTCGTCGATATTGTGTCCAGCCAGTATGATAGCCCTGGTTCCGGCTATATGCTTCCTGGATCATGCGGCCAGGTCAGAAGCTTCTGCGGGAGGCCCCCAGCACGACACTGCAAAAAATCTCACTTGGAAGTATCGCTCCCCTCACCATTGAGGGTTACTATGAGCATGCTGCTTCCTATCGAGCGCTCGGGTTCGCTCCGTGGGCTGCTCTCGTGGTAATATTAGCAGTGCTCCCCTTTTTACCAAAGGGTTGCCTATGAGCGCGCTATTCTTTCTGAATTCGGAGTTCTCCTCTCACGTGAGAGTTGAGTTCTCTGTTTTTCCCAGAGCACCTGGAACCAGCAGCATCAGGTGAACATAGGCCCTTCACTCCACCTCTCTGATGCGCTGAGTTTTTTGGCTAGCTTTCAGTACGCTTACCCTCTGATTTCTAACGATCATGCTGTGCGAGCCCCCTCTCTTGTTGAGAGCTGGGTCTATGCTCACTCAGCTAGGTATCTTTACTGCTGACTGTTCCAGCATTGGAACATGGGGTAGGTCGAGCTCCCCTCTGGTTTGAGAGCTGGGTGTTTGCCCCCTCAGCTAGAGATTTACTGCTATAGCCAATCCAGCTTTATGCCTTAGATCGAGTTGGTGACTCTCAAACATATTGGTTTTGGGATGCACCATTCCATCTATGAGCTGCTCTTTCCGAGTGCCACGAGAGCCCCTTAGAACGGTATCCTAAAATCCATGTTACGGTAAGTGTGCACGTGAAGGCTTTGTGAACTTTCTAAAATCCACATTGTGGTAAGTTCGCACACTATTTCTTTGCGTTCTTTTCTAAAATCCTATATGGTGAGGGCTTCGCGCGATTGCTTCGTGCCCTTTCTTGAGCTGGTTAGAGCCCCGTTCACCTTGGGTGCCACTCCACCTAAGTATCCTAGGATACCTACTTTAACAGGGTGTTGTTACTAGGGGTCTGTTGAGAAAGTTCCTTTCAGAGCTTATGCAAGAGCAAGCGGTAGCCCCGGTGTGACAGGCCAAGACTTAGTATGATACTAGGCTCTTGGTCATATCCCCTTAAAGGAATCCATTTTGATTCCAAGCCTGGAGCTCTACCCCGGGCCCAGGAGTCTGGCCCTAACCGGTAAGTTTGGGTATGTAGCCTAGGCCTTTGGCCGTAAGGGATAAAGTCACGGACAGCCGTCTGACGTCCCAGGGGCAACTCCCCATGAAAATGGCAAAGTTGGTACTTAGTGCTCGCCATGGTTCTGGCTTGCACTCCCCTCAGCATGGTGGCGTGGGTATACCATTCCCCATAGCGACCCCTAGAGGACGCAGCTCGAAGTTCCCTTGAAAGGGAACGTATCAGGTTACTTATGTAACCATGGTTGATTAGGGATTACTCAGGGAACCATGGTTACATATGTAACCTGAGACGTTTTATGCTACATTATGCTATCTGAAGCTGGGTTTTTTTTGTATGTTATTAATCACCACATTTATCAAGAGGCCACTTTTGAAGGCATCATGCATATCAAATGAGAATTTAACTCGAAAATAATCGTATTTAATGTAATATATTTAACTGAAGTAAAATCAAAGTGGTGTCTATGTTGAACCAGACTGAAAAATAATATTGTAAAAGCAATTTCCACTCAGAGATCGCTCAATCTCGCGAACGATTAAAATTAAATGGCATTGAATTAACACGTTAAATTAAACATGAACTTTTGATGTAGAAAAATGTAAATAGTGTTTTCTTGTAAAACATACTTTAATAACCTTTGATTTATTTACAACTTGAAAAAAAATTTTTTTACAGTGCAGTGATACTGTAAGTCCATTGCACTTTAATTACTAAACAAAATTGTAATGCCATAAAATGCTCAAAATAAAGTTCTGTGCAAAAGAACATTGGTGGATACAAAGATCTAATGACATGATGAAAGTACTTTTTATCTTGTACTTCTAGGTGAAATATTCATATGCCGCATTCTCAGCTCATTTTGCATCAATAAACAGGTATTAATAGCTGCAGTTGGTTGGTTTGGTATCAGTGACATGAGCTGTAACGCATACAGTCGCGTCGAAATGCTTGAAACATCACGATTATATTTAAGTTCTGGCAACCAGAGCAGGCGCGCGCGATGATGATGAGGATGATGAGGATGATCTAAACAAAAGCAGCGGTCGCTCGTGCAGATTATAGCGCTGAATGCGAGAGGCGACTTTCACACGGCAGCATCTCATTCATGAAGAATGAGCACTCACATGCTTACATTCAGGTCCGGTGCGGAGCAGCGCTGAGGAGTCTCTCCGCGCTCTGATCAGCTGAAGCCGGTCCGGATCGCGTCAGATCAGCGCTTGCGCTCTCATTTCCGGGCGACGCCACAGCAGATGATGAAGGTGATGCCTCTATCTTGAGCGCATTTGGAGGAAACAGATGGCGATTCCGCTCTTCCATCCAGGATTATATGGCAAATAAATCCATAAAGCCCCCCTCTCCCTCTCCCTCTCTCCCTCTCTCTCTCCGTCTCCGACGCTCCGCTGATCTTAATCTCTCTCTCTCCCTCTCCCTGCTGCAGTGTTCTGTGTTTCTAAATTCCATTAAACCAAGGAGTGCATACTGGCAGCTAAACACCAATTTGTTAGGTTAAATTGTTTTAAACCACGAAGGGATCTTTTAAATCTTTAAGACAGTGGTGGGATTTTGGTGGGATTTTGTTTACAATACACTCAAAACGTCTCAAATAACTTTAAATATGAATACCTTGGAGACTGACATTTTAAAACTTCAAGAATTGGCTGAGTCAACTGGTGCCCAAAGTTAGAGTGCCCTTGCGCTCTGAATCTGGAGGTTTATTAACTGACCCTGCTGACATTCGCAAGAGAGCAGTTACTTTTTATGAGAACTTGTATAGGAATGAACTCGGGGCCAGATACAGGGGTGATAGTGAGTTTTTTGATGACTTACCCCAGGTATCAGAGGAAGCCAACGCTGAAATCTCGGGTGCTTTGAGCACGGGGGAGCTGTATAAGGCTCTCCAAGGAATGGAGTCTGGAAAAGCACCGGGAATTGACGGTCTGCCAGTTGACTTTTACAAGTCTTTCTGGTCAGATCTAAAAGTCTCACACTCTCTCTCCCTCTCTCTCTCTCTCTCTCTCCCTCTCGCTCTCTCTCTCTCTCCCTCTCTCTCTCTTCTTCAGTTCTATTCAATATGTGCTTTATTGGCATGACAATTGTTACAATGTATTGCCAAAGCATAGTGTTTATATTGAAAATCTAAATTGCCTACTCCTTGCCTTTTTATTTTATATTTTATGATGCAACCTAAATATAAGTGTATCAAAAGCATATGCATCATACAGCGGTTGATTCCGCTCCTCAGATGCAGCTGCAGTGAGTGCTGATAACGGGACCGGACCCTTAAACTCCTCGCGCTCCTGGTTGCTCTCGCGCCGGGACTCTGTGGAAGCACGCTTCTATTCTTGATTCGGAGTTTATGTCTCGCACTTCTGTTTTTATGGAAGCCCATTCCCACCACGGGATTACAAAAATAAAAAGGTAATTGCGACTTTTTGTCTAACAATTCTAATTTATCCTGCAATTCTGAGAAGGAGAAAAGAAAAGAACGAGAATTGTGAGTATATATACTCTATATAAACTCAGAGATGCAAGGAAAAAACGTCTCTGTTTACATCTTGCAATTCAGAGAGAAAAATCTGAGATAAAAAAAAAACAGACTTCCATAAAAAAACTGAATCGCGAGATATAAAGTTCGTAGATAGCTTTTTTTTTTTGAGTCTGTAGCAAGTGGTCTTCCCGAGGTTTCTCCACTGAAAGCAGCACATGACCCCCGCAGAGTCCTGCAGAGCTTCACAGACACTATGAAGATGTCAGCCAGATGAAAACATTTTCACAATGACAAAAACTCTTATCCCAGTGTTGAGTGACTTTATATGTGATTGTCTTGTCCCTGTGACTGATGATTTATGTAAAACAGATATTTCCTGTTCTGGATTATGATTGGCTGAGCCATGCTCAAAGCTGTTGTAAAATACTCTGCTAAAGATTGCTGAAATATATATTATATTTGCAATAGATATAATTATTTAAACATTATATATATATGCTTTTGCAGTCAGATCTTATAGGCTTCTTCAGTTTTGGCCAAATGACAGTGAATATCTCTCTAAATATAGCCTCCATCTGTGCTTCGTAGCATCCTCAGCAGAGCTGCTGTTGTTTATTTCCATTCCTCTGTTGAGTGGAAACACAAAACTAAACCTGTATCAGACAGAGGCACTGGAGAAGATCCGCCGTGCTCTTTATGAAATATGAGTTATTGATGTCTGGACACGTGACAGAGAGATGAACTCCTGAAGGCACGGATCGCACACGCATGCAGAGACACATGTGCATATAATCATGCGTGACCACTCTCCTGAAGAACGATGTCTGCGTCACAGTTTTGGCTTATCAAACATTTCCATTATATTAGCATCATCTAAGTCAGAAAGATAATACAGAAGATCGTTAAGGAATTGAAGAAAAAACAACAATATTAGTTTGTACACAATGTCAGACAGTATTTCCTCGTTACCAAATCAGCATATATTGCATGCAGTAGGCCACATCTCATTAAGTTTAGTTTAATTATGATAATAATAAATGGCAATGGATTAGGACTGTACGTGCTGGATGATTGTGTTTGTGCTGGTGTTGTGTGTGCTCTCGCTGCTATGTAGTGTGATAAACTAGCAGCTCCCATAAAATCCCCTAAACATACAATATCTTAAAGAAAAAAAAACATTATTGAACTAAAATATAGTACATGCATTTCATTAAAAATAAATTGCATGTAAAAATAGAAAAATTATATATATATATATATATGGAAAGGTTTAAATAAAAATATAGTTTTTTATATATATAAAATATATTCATGCATTTCTCATATCATGTACATCCAGATGGGTAACTGCTCTTGATCTTGTTTTCCAGTTTTCTTTAATGATCAGGATATAAAAAGGCAGAAGGGTCACAGAGGGGAAAAACATGGAGTTGCACGTTATCATAACTGGCTTTTGGAGACATAATACATTCTCTTTAATTCAACGCACTTTGTGAAGAAGCAAGTATAGTTACATTTATTAAACTGTGGCTTTCAGAGATTCTGTAAACAATGCCCAATCATAACATCTTCCAAAATACAGCTGATTATGAGTCCAAACATATCATGAACAAATTGCAGGCCATCGTTCACGGAGTCAGTCTGTGTGAAGGAGAAAATCACCCGTTTACCGCTTTACATTCAACACAGTGGAAACATCAGTGTGTTCACAACGATACCACGGCTTCAGAAGACTTGAACACAGCACACAAGTCATATGGACTCTATGATACTTCAATGCTTTTTATTATCTTCATGCAGCTTGACAGTCCCTAGCCTCCATCTTTCACTGGAAAAGTGCAGCATGAACATTCTGCAAAACATCACCTTTTGTGTTCCACGGAAGAGAGAAAGTCAAAGTCATACTGGTTTGGAACAACATTTTTGCATGAATATATAATAATCTATATGAGGCTACAGATGACTCTCAGGCTTTATTGACTGCTTGAAAGGCCGAGTGCTAAATCTGTGTGCTTATATAATCCATAATCAGAGCGGCAAAGGTCATAAAGCACAGCCATCACTTATATACAGTAAACAATTAAGTCAAGAACTTTATCAGTCATACATAACACGTCTTCAAGAATTGAAAAAGATGCAGGTAATTGCTTTCTAAATTCATTTGCAATATCTATTACACAATTTTTGTTGAGAAGTGGCTTTTCAAACATCCAGTTATTGGCTTCTGCAGATCTGCTTCTGATCTCTGAACATTCTCCATCTACAGCCTCGAGGCGGAGGAACCTGCTTTCAGAGACGCAATGCTAATTTAAATGGAGAATGTAAGGTGTAAAATTTCCAGTCTCGCTTAAATTCATGCAATGCAGCACAACAGAGCTCCAGATCTGACTTTACAACAGTCTATACCCTCATACTGTTGAGAATATAATAAAGCAGACTGCTCGTGACATGTTTTGAGCATGAAAATCATCCCTTCTGAGTTCAGTGAGTCTGTGAAACAGAAATGATTTGTAGCTGGTATTTCTTCACGCAGAAGAACTGCACGGGGTACAAGGCTAAAACGACTTTTAAATATCCGAAGAGATGGAGAAAAGAAACGAAGAAAACAGAGAGAGGAGATATAATGAGGTGTAGCATATGATTCAGACTCTGATCACAACAGGAAAAGTTACATTGCAAGATATAAAGCTGCTATAAAGTCACTTTGTGAGATATAAGGTTAAAATGACTAAACAATAAAGATATATCATAAGATACAGTTGCAATTACAAGAAACAAATTCACATTGTGAGATGTGAAGTCTCAAATATGAGAAAATGTGATTTTGTTGCGTCGCAGTTATGAGAAAAGTCACATTGTAAGATGTAAATTTGCAATTATGAGAAATATAGTAACAATTATAAAAAAAAGGAAATCACATTGTGAGATATAACGTCTCAAATATGAGAAATAGTTACATTGTGAGAAAGTTGCAATTGCAACGTTCTCACAATGTAACTGTTTCTCAAAAAATAAAGTGAGATATATTGTGATTGTAGTCATAATGTGAGATATAAAGACACGATTAAGAGATGTTGCAATTACAATTCACAATGTGATATATAAAAGACAAGCAAGAGCAATAAGGTAGAAATGATGAGAAATAGTCACATTATGAGATGTAAAATTGCAATTATGATACATTGTGAGAATCTGAATATATAAGATATAAAGTCGCAGTTATGAGAAATAAAGTCACATTGTGAGATAAAGTTCCAATAAATAAGGTTGCAATTATATTTAAAAAAAAAAAGAAAAACACATTGTGAGATATGAAGTTGGAATTTATGAGAAATAAAGTCAGAATCGTGAAATATAAAGTCACAAATGTAAGATATGAAGTTTCATACCTGATGAGGAATCGTATGGATTTGAGCTGTCTCTGAGACGCTGTCTAACATCAGTGGAAGGTGTTTCTGTGAGCTGATCTGAGAAACTGAGCAACTCAAGAACATTTCATGTGAAGAGAGCAGAGCCATCAAAGCCTGGTCTGAGAGACTGAAGTGAATGTGGAGCAAGTGAAGGGAACTCTCCTCGAGCTGAGAGTGGGTTTGAGCTTCCGGAGGTCTGTCTGACGCGGCAGCTGCTTTCTGCAACACTTCACCGTCAGCTGGAGGAAGGACTGGACCAGCTTTCTAATCAGGGACCAATTATAAAACACATGAATATTTGATTTCTGAAACAGAATGAATCGCCGAGGTCCTCACTCGACTGCATCTTCTCATTTATTGAGTCTCGCAATATTAAACATGTGAAAGGTGAAAATGTTTAAAAGCACTGACTCGGTTCTGCTGGAATGAAGCACACGGGCTAGAATCTCCCTTCATCCACGAGCGAGACATGACCTCTGAACTCAGAACTAAACCCACAATTGTGAAATATAGACTTTTTCTCTGAATTCTGAGTTTACATCTCACAATTCTTTTTCTGCACTAGAATAAAAAGTAAAAAATAGTGTATTTTTTTCCTCACAATTGCGAGTTTATATCTTGTTATTCTGAGTGTTAAAAAAAAGTCAGAATTGTGAGATAAAAAGTCGCAATTGCTTTTAATTAAAAAAAATTTATTTCAGGTAACATTTATTTCAAGTTTTCAAAGTTTTCTTTTTTTAAAGATTTTAGTTTTAGTGAACTGTAATAACCCCAAAACGCACTCCCCGAGCTCAGCGTACAGGTTTGGAGCAGCATGAGGATGAATAAGTGATCATTTTCATTTCTGGCTGAACTGTCTGTGTTTGCTACACTCTCATTCCCTCAAACGAGCCGATCGATTCCCCGGACCGCTCCCTTTTCCTGAAACTGGGTTTAATTTACACTTTCTCTGTTAACAAACTGGGCCCAGCCTGACAAACATTATACATATTTATATACATGTACACATTATTTATAGTCACTGCATCCTACGCACACATTAAAAAGTACTTCACTGAGGAATTGTGCATCTGAATGTGTTGCAGGAGTCATTCATTCACTCACTGTACGCATGAAACAGCATCAATAATCCATCATAGCACTACTGTCCATCCGGGCAAAATCAATCCGCTTTAAAGGAAGTGTGCTGGAAATGCCTTCCCTAAAGCAATTCCAGCACATTTCAGGAGAAAACAAGAGCTGTATGAATGTAATTGCTGTAAACTGCATGAGATGCGGAGCGTCTGTGTGTGGTTTGTGCTCCAGCAGAGACTCGTGATGCATAGCAGTGAAGTTTGACCACCAGAAGAGCAGAAAGCCTTCACCTGAGCAATCAACATGCTAAAACACTGCTACTGCTCAACACGTGACATCGTTCACGCTTCTTAAAGGAATATTCCACATTCAATACACGTTGCACTAAACTGACAGCATTTGTTGGTTTTCACAAAAATGTATTTCCTTTAAAAAATCTGCGTTCCAGTGAGGTACTTACAACGGAGTTTCAAATGAGCCGCCACAAGACATAACAACATATATATTCACTGTTTTTGTATTTTTAAAAAAAACAAATTTTCTGTCCAATTTTACAGCTTTGTTGTCATAACGTAACAGCTAAAACCTTAACATGATCCTTTGCAGCTCAAATAACACCCATGTTTTAGCAGAATAATTAATAGAAGTGCTTTCACAAAATTTCCACTTTTAAATCCCGCAAAAAATGTCCCCATTCATTTCCATTGTAAGTGCCTCATCGTAACCATGACGTTTGCTGTTTTCTACATTTCTACATTTTTTAAATTTTGTGCTGATCAACATTCCGACACAAATGCTGTGGACTGAGCTTGACTTGCATTGCACTGAAGATTCCTTCCACGACTGACTATAAAGATTGCTGAAAACTCAGCGGTGGGAAAGTGTCAAACGTATGGATGTAGAGAAATAAGAATCTCGAGTTGCACGCTTAAATAAGCACCAGAAACTGATACCTTGAGAAAGCAGATGAGCTTTCGCTCTTCATTCACGATCTCACCAGCTCTGAGCCACACACGACTGCTGCTACATTTCTGCACCGGCTTACACACAGTCCTGAAGCCAGCGTGTCATTGCACTCAGCTCCACGTTGGTCCCTTAAGACTCGCTTCAAAGAGTTTCAAAGCAGTCCTTGACGTTTCTTCTCATTTACATTCTATTAGAAACAGTTGCCACAAAATGTTGGAAAAGCAATGGCTTAGTAAATATCCATTCTGTATCAACCATACCTGGTCTTTGCATGCCGAGAGCGCTCTAATCATACTGAATGTCTGGGCAGCTTTCAGTAATGCTATTTCGTTCTTGTTCAGTCGCCGGCTTGCGTCGAGCGTCAGTGGTGGGCACCTCGCTGTAACCGGCCGTCCGATCGCAGCCCGTTCCTGTGAATCCAGCTGTAAATGAAGAGGTCTGATAGTTGTTACATCCCTCAGTGAAGAGAATGAGAGGCAGAGAGAATGAAGAACGGCACCAGCGGCCCGCTCTCGCTCCGTGTGCATAAGAGAATCCCAGCGCACCGTGAGGGTGGGTTGGTTAGTTGGTTAGTTGGTTGGTTGGTTCAAAGCAGTGGCACTTGCTGGTAACACCTGGCTTGGAAGGCTACTGCTCAACACGTGACATCGTTCACGCTTCTTAAAGGAATATTCCACATTCAATACACGTTGCACTAAACTGACAGCATTTGTTGGTTTTCACAAAAATGTATTTCCTTTAAAAAATCTGCGTTCCAGTGAGGTACTTACAACGGAGTTTCAAATGAGCCGCCACAAGACATAACAACATATATATTCACTGTTTTTGTATTTAAAAAAAAACAAATTTTCTGTCCAATTTTACAGCTTTGTTGTCATAACGTAACAGCTAAAACCTTAACATGATCCTTTGCAGCTCAAATAACACCCATGTTTTAGCAGAATAATTAATAGAAGTGCTTTCACAAAATTTCCCGCAAAAAATTCCCCATTCATTTCCATTGTAAGTGCCTCATCGTAACCATGACGTTTGCTGTTTTCTACATTTCTACATTTTTTAAATTTTGTGCTGATCAACATTCCGACACAAATGCTGTGGACTGAGCTTGACTTGCATTGCACTGAAGATTCCTTCCACGACTGACTATAAAGATTGCTGAAAACTCAGCGGTGGGAAAGTGTCAAACGTATGGATGTAGAGAAATAAGAATCTCGAGTTGCACGCTTAAATAAGCACCAGAAACTGATACCTTGAGAAAGCAGATGAGCTTTCGCTCTTCATTCACGATCTCACCAGCTCTGAGCCACACACGACTGCTGCTACATTTCTGCACCGGCTTACACACAGTCCTGAAGCCAGCGTGTCATTGCACTCAGCTCCACGTTGGTCCCTTAAGACTCGCTTCAAAGAGTTTCAAAGCAGTCCTTGACGTTTCTTCTCATTTACATTCTATTAGAAACAGTTGCCACAAAATGTTGGAAAAGCAATGGCTTAGTAAATATCCATTCTGTATCAACCATACCTGGTCTTTGCATGCCGAGAGCGCTCTAATCATACTGAATGTCTGGGCAGCTTTCAGTAATGCTATTTCGTTCTTGTTCAGTCGCCGGCTTGCGTCGAGCGTCAGTGGTGGGCACCTCGCTGTAACCGGCCGTCCGATCGCAGCCCGTTCCTGTGAATCCAGCTGTAAATGAAGAGGTCTGATAGTTGTTACATCCCTCAGTGAAGAGAATGAGAGGCAGAGAGAATGAAGAACGGCACCAGCGGCCCGCTCTCGCTCCGTGTGCATAAGAGAATCCCAGCGCACCGTGAGGGTGGGTTGGTTAGTTGGTTAGTTGGTTGGTTGGTTCAAAGCAGTGGCACTTGCTGGTAACACCTGGCTTGGAAGGCATGGTTGTCATCGTAGTTGTTGTAGCAGAGCAGTAAAAATATAAAGTCGATAGGTTTCATCTGTATTGCATATGTCACGCATGTTCGCCAGGACTGAATGAGGTCATGTCCAGTTTTGTTTTTGCAAAAACAGAACACATGTATTAAAAGTCCAGCCGACCTGAAGAACTGCAGTGATAAGCGGAAATTAAACACCAGGTGCAAATCAATCAAACCTCCATGGGAGAAAAACCAAACTCAAATCCACCGGCCGCTTATAAATAATAAAAGAACCCTTCTTGTGTTCGACGCGGTCTGGTGCTCCGAGTGAGAATGACGGCCCATCATCCTCAGGAGTCCGTGTTAAAGACCGAGACGCAGAAACGAGCGGCAGGCGTCAGTGAAAGTGCTGCGTGTGATGCGGTTCTGAAGGATGATGGGAAAGGAATGCTCTACATCTTGATGCCCTCCTGCTGGCTGAGCTGGGACAGCGTCTTCTTGATGCGCAGGGCTGTGAGACGGGCCGCTCCGTTGGCGTACCAGCACTCCCTCATGATCTTCGCCATCACACGCAGAGCCTGAACACACCAAACAGCACATAAATGCACACGCACACACAACTCATACTGCTCACATTAAAACTTGAACTCCTTTCTATCAGGCATTCTTCATTCAGATCTGCTTGTTTTACCCTCATCCCAAAATCATCACACTTTTAATCTTCAAAAATGAAAATCCCGAGATTGCATGTGTATTTATCATGGTTATTATAGTTAACCAAAACTAAAAGCATTCAAATAAATACATTCATATTGTGAGATACAAGGTCACAATTACAAAAGAAAGTCACATTGTGAGATATAAAAATTCACAATTACATGAAAAAAGGTTACGTATGAAAGTATGAAAAATAAAGTCACAGTGACCCTGCAGCACAAAAGCAGTGTTGAGTCGCTGGGGGATATTTGTAGCAATAGCCAACAATACATTGTATGGGTCAAAATTATACATTTCTCTTTTATGCCAAAAATCATTAGGATATTAAGTAAAGATCACGTTCCATGAAGATATTTTGTAAATCTCCTACTGTAAATATATCAAAACTTAATGTTTGATTAGTAATATGCATTGCTAAGAACTTCATTTGAACAACTTTAAAGATGATTTTCTCAATATTTAGATTTTTTTGCACCCCCAGATTCCAGATTTTCAAATATTGTCCGATCCTAACAAACCATACATCAATGGAAAGACTGACACTTAAGACTGGTTTTGTGGTCCAGGGTCACATATAAAGTCACAATTATGAGAAATAGCCAAAAAAATCCAGTCAAGATGTAATTTTGGAAAATTATGCAAAAACGTCATTTAACTTTGTGTATTTTATTCCAAAAATATTAAAAATGCCATTTCCATCACTGTCATTCCCACTACAGCATGCTCTTAAACACAATACTGTACGATGCGGTGAAACTTACACATTTCCATTCCCAATTTCTGATGATAACAAATAAAATACAAACTAGTCAAGAGTCTTTAAGAGACTTTACTTTCTTAAAACACACACAAGGTCCAAAACTGGCTCTAGCTATTAACTAAAGGAACACTGATTTGCCCGTTTTTTACCTAATGAGAAACTAATTCACTGAAGTGTGTCCAGACAAAACTCAAGCAGCTCAATTTGTATTTTGTACTCTGAGGTTTAAATCACTACAGCTCCTGAAAGTCTTTTTTTCAAGCAGTTTCTTGTCAAATCAGTGCTTCGGTTCATGCCCTCTAAGAAACGCTAGAATAGATACAAATGCGCTGCTTCAGTCATTTATTATTTGCACATCATCTCCTGATGACTCCTGCAGAAACGCTCGTCTGCGCTGGGATTTTTATTAGATCCATTACACTCTTAAAAATAAAGGTGCTTCACAATGCCATAGAAGAACCTTTTTGTCTAAATGGTTCCATAAAGAACCTTTAACATCTGAAGAACCTTTCTGTTTCACAAAAGCTTCTTTGTGGTGAAAGAAGGTTCTTCGAATTATAAAAAAGTAAGAAAGAGACGGTTCTTTAAAGAACCTTTGACTGAATGTACCTAATGAGAAACTAATTCACTGAAGTGTGTCCAGACAAAACTCAAGCAGCTCAATTTGTATTTTGTACTCTGAGGTTTAAATCACTACAGCTCCTGAAAGTCTTTTTTTCAAGCAGTTTCTTGTCAAATCAGTGTTTCGGTTCATGCCCTCTAAGAAACGCTAGAATAGATACAAATGCGCTGCTTCAGTCATTTATTATTTGCACATCATCTCCTGATGACTCCTGCAGAAACGCTCGTCTGCGCTGGGATTTTTATTAGATCCATTACACTCTTAAAAATAAAGGTGCTTCGAAAGGTTCTTCAAGCGATGCCATAGAAGAACCATTTTTGGTTCCACAAAGAACCATTCAGTCAAAGGTTCTTTAAAGAACCTTTGACTGAATGGTTCTTTGTGGAACCAAAAATGGTTCTTCTATGGCATCGCTTGAAGAACCTTTCGAAGCACCTTTATTTTTAAGAGTGTAGATCAGACAAAGCAAGTAAAAGAGCTGCAGCGCTTCATACTGGCCACACTGTTAGCTGTGTATAAATGCACAACAACGTCTGCAGAGATTTGAGCTCTCTTTGGGTCATTACTGACACCCACTTTTGGCTCTCCACCAAATGCAAATCAAATCATTTCTGTTTGTGCCGCAGACACACAAGCACAGTTTAGTTCATTTAGCTGCTCGCCAAACACGGAAGGTCATCCACCGCGAGGAAGAAAATCCAGCCTTACGAAAGCACTACTGAGTTTGCTAACATCCAGAAAGCATAAAGTTAGCTTCCTGACGAGGTTATGTACAACAGTGCAGCAATGCAACCCGAATAGTCTTCCTCAGTTCGCTCAACGTCAGCTGACCGCTTTAAAGAGTTTTCAGACAAACGCGTCTCTTGTGAGCAACTATTTGTGGCAGATGAAAATATATGTCTGCATGCCTTTTAAACTTTGAGAGAAGTAGAATTTAAACTTGCTTTATGTACTTTATAACACAGTTTAAAAAAAATGTGATTTGTTTGCATCAGTTTGGTCAGTGCTGAACGTTGCAGAAACGTTGTTTGAACGTGATTTAAACGTTAATAAGTAGAAGTAAACCTTTGCTTTTTGTCCTTTACTGCAACAAACTATTTTGGACAAATGCATCTTGTTTGTATCTATTTGTTCAGAGGTGAAAATATGTGGTGCGGGACATTGCAGAAACGTTGCTTTAATGTTGTATAAAGATTTAAGTTGAATTAAAACGTTTTGAAAATAGAAGGTGACAATATACATCCTAAACATTATTTAAATGCTGTTTGAACGGTGCTTAAAAGTTTATTATATGTAGAATTAAAACGGCTTGCTTTATGTAGTTTATGACACCAGCAGCAGTTCATTTTCACTTCCTTTGAGGCCATTAAAGCCTGTATCTGCAGATACAATCTCAGGTTTTACACTGCCCTGGGGAACAAGACACTTCTAAAGACTCTGATCTCCTCCGAGGAGTCTGCATGTTCAGGCTCACCTGTGAACGAGAGCCGAATGCAGAAACACCATCTGCTGAAAATGCCACGGCAGACAGTAAATGTCACTGGTGCTGCGGCTGAATCACGCGCTACAGACGCAGAAACAAAGACAGCGTATCCATTATGAGAGCACTAGAGGCACACCTCTGTTTCACAGAGCGTTTGGCAGCTTTCATATGCTGGAGACGGATTCGATTTCACAGCAGTGTTATCTTGGATCAAATCGAATCAAGTCGTGTCACTTCCCCGGTAATAAAGAGGCCAGCGCAGTTTTGATGAACGATTACCGGTGCGATTACCCGGGTCGAGAGGGCAGATCTGTGCACACCGTAATGAAATGCTGCGAGAATTAACTTTATTGATCTACATGGGAAAATTAAATGTGCTCTTTCAAGAACAAGACGATATATCTCAGTACAAGAAAGCAAAGTGCATAAGTACACACACACACATTGTCCATTGTTATATAGAGAAATGTCTATTTGGCTTTGTCTATTTTTTAAAATTACACTGGTCTCACTATTCTTGCCTCTGCTTGTTCTGGACGGGCAACATTTCTCTCAGTCAGCGGAAATGGTGAAGAAGAAAACCCAGCTAACGCATGATGTAACAGTTACATCATTTATTGTCATTCAATGACTTACTAATTGAAAATGCAACTAGGACACTGCATGCTCGTAACTTCATTACCATCCAATTACCAACTCTCAACGTACTTTGGTAATTTCATGACTTATTTGCAAAGTAACTGCAGTGTCATAGGTCTGTAATTTCATTACCATCAAATTAAAAGTTCTTTACATTGGTTCTGATTACCAGAATTTGCTATTTAAAATGTGTAATTAAACATCAGCCACTAAATGAAACATTTCCTTCTGAAGTAATATACAGCACACGCATCCACATTAACTAGTGACTAGACACTGTAACTAGTGACTAATACTGTAACACTATATCTAGTCACTAGATGTGTAACACTGTAATTAGTGACTAATACTGTAACACTATAACTAGTGACTAGGACCAAAAGGCTGTAACTAGTGACTAGAACCGTAACGCTGTAACTAGTGACTACTACTATAGCACTATAACTAGTGACTAGAACCAAAAGGCTGTAATTAGTGACTAGACACTGTAAATAGTGGCAAGTACTGTAACACTGTAACTAGTGTGTAGAACTGTAACACTATAACTAGTGACTAGAACCAAAAGACTGTAACTAGTGACAAGTACTGTAACACTATAACTAGTACTGTAGCACTATAACTAGTGACTAGAACCAAAAGGCTGTAACTAGTGAGTAGACACTGCAACTAGTGACTAGTACTGTAACACTATATCTAGTAACTAGATGTGTAACACTGTAATTAGTGACTAATACTGTAACACTATAACTAGTGACTAGAACTGTAACACTATAACTAGTGACTAGAACCAAAAGGCTGTAACTAGTGACTAGAACCATAACGCTGTAACTATTGACTAGTACTGTAGCACTATAACTAGTGACTAGAACCAAAAGACTGTAACTAGTGACTAGACACTGTAACTAGTGACAAGTACTGTAACACTGTAACTAGTACTGTAGCACTATAACTAGTGACTAGAACCAAAAGGCTGTAACTAGTGACTAGACACTGTAACTAGTGACAAGTACTGTAACACTGTAACTAGTGTCTAGAACTGTAACACTAGAACTAGTGACTAGAACCAAAATACTGTAACTAGTGACTAGACACTCTAACTAGTGACAAGTACTGTAACACTGTAACTAGTACTGTAGCACTATAACTCGTGACTAGAACCAAAAGGCTGTAACTAGTGACTAGACACTGTAACTAGTGACAAGTACTGTAACACTGTAACTAGTACTGTAGCACTATAACTAGTGACTAGATCTGTAACACTATAACTAGTGACTAGAACTGTAGCACTATAACTAGTGACTAGAACCAAAAGGCTGTAACTAGTGACTAGAACCGTAACGCTGTAACTATTGACTAGTATTGTAGCACTATAACTAGTGACTAGAACCAAAAGACTGTAACTAGTGACTAGACACTGTAACTAGTGACAAGTACTGTAACACTGTAACTAGTATTGTAGCACTATAACTAGTGACTAGATCTGTAACAGTGTAATTAGTGACTAATACTGTAACACTATAACTAGTGACTGGAACCATAACGCTGTAACTAGTGATTAGAACTAGAAGAGTTCAATCATGACAATCATGCGATTAATCACGAATAAATATTTTAATCAATTGACAGCCCTAATATATATATATATACATATATATATATATATGTATATTCATTGTCCATTCGTCAACTCACAGACGGATATATTTCCAGATTGAGTTTTCATTCCTCTGTTTTAAGTTGAGTGTTCTTACCTCACAGCTCTGCCATCTGTTTGGGATGTTGGGCCGTAGTTTCTGTTCGCACACGACTCTCCTCATCTCCTCCACCGACGGGTCGGACTGCACCAGGTCATAGTACGGCAGCTGGTAGTCCTCGTGAATGCCTGCGCAAAAACATGCTTCAGTTAAGGTATGATGAGTCTAAATACTCAAAACAACAGATGATGATGCTGATCAAAAGATCAGACAAACTTCAAAATGCAAACATGTCTGGTGAACTAAAACAGTTATTAAAGTAGAGCTAGTTTCATATGAATAATACCTCCAATAGAACATCTGCTGGCAATTTCCCAGAAGACCAGCCCCATGGCATAGATGTCTGCCCTCTTGAAAGACTCAAAGTGCTTCATGTTTATTGAATCGTCAAGCACTTCTGGAGCCATATACCTGTTGAAGGATACAAGTGAAGAGAGAGTTATTATTTTTGATGAAGCAAAGCAAAATCCTAATCCAGAGATTTATGCCCACATGATACAAGAACAAGGTCCTTCTGAAGGTTGACTTTATTGTCATTCAGCACTAACACATCTAAATGCAGTTTCACCAAGGGATGAAAAAACGCCCCTGGAAGAACGAGAGAAATCAGCCGGTTTACAGGCACGGAAATAAATCATTATGTAATTAAAAAAGCACAGAGGCCTGAACTTCACGAGCACAGCGAGCACAAAAGATTTCAGTGTTTTGTATTTTGGTTGTATTTAAGGTATGTTGCAGAAAATTTTTTAAAATGTAAATGATTTTTTTTAAAAAGCATCAAATGATAATTATATTGTATTTTTACTACAAAAACAAGTGCATGCCAGTGGTATTTTAGTATCATTAAGAATGTTTTTGTTAATATCTTGAACTCGTTTTATATATATATATATTTATTTATATATATTTTTCCTGTTTTGATTTTAATTTTAGTTAAAAATTTAATCATATTGTTTTAATATGTCTATATAGTTTTTATAATTTTTTTAAATAATTTTCTTTAAATTCAGTTTTAGTTATTTTAGTACATCAAGTTAAACTAAATGAAAATGATAAATGTTGCCTTTGCAACTAGCTGAAATAAAATATGTTAAATGTTTTTTTTAAATATATTTTATTTTATTTTACTTCACTTAATGTTAATTTTATTTCAAGATCCAAAGAAACCCTGTAAATTCATCTTTTGCAGATCTGCAAAAAATATCTACATTACAAAAATAAAATAAAATAAAATAGAAATGTATGGGCCAACAAGACACACGGTACATGTTGTCTTTAAGAAAACACTTCCCATCAGTAGGAGAGAAAACTAAATAAAAAGCCAAACGAACGAAAACCCCAAAACCCAGCTAACCTCCCAGCAGGACTAACAAACTAGCAGCAGTAGCCCTGGACCAGTGATCGAGGACTTCGAGATGAACCTCCACTAACCCATCTCAAACGCCTTCCCAGAGCTATATACGGATAAACCAGTCCCCTCAACCATAACAACGGCTGAAATCCGTCTGAAGAACAGGAGGGCGTACCGTTTGGTGCCCACTCTGTGGTTGGGTGCGATGTCGATGGTGTCGGTGGCGGAGTCGTGGCGCACAGCTAAACCCAGGTCTGCGATGCAGCACGTGCCGTTCTTCTTCACCAGGATGTTCTTGGACTTCAGATCCCTGTGAGCGATAGCAGGCTTGCCTGGAATCAAGCGGAGGAACACACGATTAGAGAAAGAGCTGACGATCGGAGGAGAAGCGCGCACCTTCTCAAGAAGAGCCGAGCGGATAAAGAGATCGTTCACCCAGAAAGGATCAAGTCTTCACACTCACGTCACTAAAAACCCGCAAGACTCCTTCAAAACACAAACAAAGACATTTTTCATGCAAGCTGAGGGATTTCTGCTCCTCCATTGACAGTCCTTTCCTCTAAACTCCACTTAAAGGCATCATAAATGCAACTGCATCAAGCAGTTTAATTTCATTTTTAGATTTAGTTTAGGCGTTTCTTCACGTGTATATATACTGCATATGGACAACAGAAGCTGAAACGTGTGTGCTTGACACATTTGAGCTTCTGTTGACCATCTTCACTCGTGTTTTGAATGACTGCGAGTCTTAAAGACTCTTATATGACATGAGAGCGAGTAGATGATGCAGGAATGGTCATGTTTGGGTGAGTTTTCCCTTGAAATGAGGTCAAAAGAAGGTATTTTCTGGAAGAGTATTGTAAAAGTGGATGTGTAGCGTGGTAAAACATTGTTTTTGTGGACATGTACCATTCTAATAATGCTATTTTGCCATGTATCATTGTAATACCATGATTTCTGACAAGTACAATGGTCCCAGCATGTTTTTTTTTATATGTAAACAGCCATTCAAATGTTTCTGAAAGAAGTCTCTTCTGCTCACCGAGGCTGCATTTATTTGACCAAAAATACAGTAAAAACAGTGAAATATTATTACAGTGTAAAACAGCTGTTCTCTATGTGTTAAACTGTAATGTATTTCTGTGATGCGCAGCTGTATTTTCAGCATCATTCCTCCAGTCTTCAGTGTCACATGATCTTCAGAAATCAGTATAATATGCTGATCTGCTGCTCGAGACACATTTCTGATTATTATCAATGTTGAAAACAGTCGTGCTGCACAATATTTCTGTGGAAACTGTGATGCATTTTATTTTTCAGGATTCACAGATGAACAGAAAGTTCAGAAGAACAGCATTTATTTCAAATAGAAATCTTTTGTGACATTATAAATGTCTTTGTCACTTTTGATCCATTTAATGCATCCTTGAAGAATAAAAGTATTAATTTGAATATTAAAGTTATATTTATTTATATAAGTTATATATATTTTTTGAACTCTGAATCTTTAGTGACATGTAAACACATAAGCAAATATTGATTCAATTGCATGGTACACACTGTGGTAAACACTAGCACAGTATGATCATCTGACACGGGTATTTCCGGTCTAGTAGATGATTTTTCATAAGCAGAGAGTGCAGCTGCACTGATGTCTGACACTGAAGGCAGTGGGAAACGTCTGACGGTTACAGTGAGATGCGCTCATGTCACAGCCGCCTGCATCATAATGCATAATGCATGTAAACCCACACACAGCAGCGGGAGCGTTTCACACAAACGCTTTCATTACTCCTGCCTCAGCATGAACCTGACACAGACACGCTGCTCCGCCTGAAGCTGACAGGAGACCACAGACGCACCTCCATCAGCTGTGACACGGTTGCTAAGGGGTTCTGGGCATGTTGCTATGCACATCCTGCTCAGGGTGGTTGCTAGGGAGGTTGCTAGGGTGTTTCAGATTGTTTTTAGGTTCCCTACAATCCAAATATGTTTGATTTAATAAATATATTTTTTAAAGAAATTAATTCTTCAAGGATGCATTAAATTTGATCGAAAGTGACAAAGACATTTATAATGTGACAAAAGATTTCTATTTCAAATAAATGCTGTTCTTCTGAACTTTCTGTTCATCTGTGAATCCTGAAAAATAAAATGCATCACAGTTTCCACAGAAATATTGTGCAGCACGACTGTGTTCAACATTGATAATAATCAGAAATGTTTCTCGAGCAGCAGATCAGCATATTATACTGATTTCTGAAGATCATGTGACACTGAAGACTGGAGGAATGATGCTGAAAATACAGCTGCGCATCACAGAAATACATTACAGTTTAACACAGATTCACACAGAACACAGCTGTTTTACATTCTAATAATATTTCACAGTTTTTACTGTATTTCTGATCAACTAAATGCAACCTCATTGCGCAGAAGAGACTTCTTTCAGAAACATGAAAACATTTCATGAACCCAGTTGAAAATAACCCAGATTGCTTAGCAAAGTAATCACACTTTATGATTTTCATATTAATAATGTCTTTAGCACAAGCTGTGACCATGTGCTGAAGTTTACTACTTATGGTCAGGGTTTAAAAATAAGCAATAGTAATCGCACACATCATTACTTTAGCAGTCAACAAATGAGCGCATTGTTATAGCTTTAATACTACAACAGGCCGTGCTGAATTGATCTTCAGCGCTTGATCAGACTCTCTCACAGTGTAATGAGGCATTACCACTCAATTATACGAATGTAATAAAGCTGCTCCGTCGGTAAATGAAGCTCTCACAAAACCCCATTAACTTCTCTTGACTGAAGTCTAAATCAAGCTAAATGCTTCAGTTTTGGACTTCTAGAGGCAAACAGTGACTCAAAGTGCTATTTTTATACATCATATAAATAAAGAAATACTTCTGACGCTGGCTGAATGAGCAGGGCCTGTAAAGCTTGATTTGGCTTCACTGGAACTAAAACAGCACAGCCTTGTGTGAAGATGAACTAACGGCTCACCATAAATGGTTCAAGGTAAAAAGCATTTTTAAATGTATATTTGTATATATTTTTAATTATGAATACCACTAAGGTTTGAACTTGCCATGTCATAAAAGGTAAGATTGTGGTTGATTTTTCAGAATTTGAATTACTTTAACACAGTCATGATGGTCAACATTGCGTCAATATTAGTTAAAAAAAATTGCTTAATGTCAAGAAATAATATATTTACATTTAGTCATTTAGCAGACGCTTTTATCCAAAGTGACTTACAAATTAGGACAATAGAAGCAATCGAAATCAACAAGAGAGCAATGATACGCAAGTGCTATAACATGCCTCAGTTAGCTTAACGCAGTACACATAGCAAGTTAAAAAACAATTTTTTTTATTATATTATAAATAAAAAAAGAAGACAGACAGAATAGAAAAAGAATAGAGCAAGCTAGTGTTAGAGGCCTTTTTTTGCTTTGGTTAATTGTATAATAAATAAAAAGAAAACAAATAGATAGAATACAAAAATATTAGACAAGCAATTTTTTTAAAGAAAACAAGCAGTTAGTAAATGAATAGAGTTTACGAATGTGCATAGAGCACGTTTTTTAATAAGAATAGAATTAGAATAGAGAGTGCTAGAGTTAGAGGGTCAAATAAAGATGGAAGAGATGTGTTTTTAGCCGATTCTTGAAGATGCTGCTGGGATTGAGCTGGGCAGGTCACTCCACCAGGAGGGAACAGTTAATGTAGAAGTCTGTGAAAGTGATTTTGTGCTGCTTTGGGATGAACAATAAAGCGCCGCTCACTTGCAGAACGCACGCTTCTAGAGGCACTTACTGTATATATTACACTTAAGCTACTTAAGGCCTCTTTTTCAAGACTTTCAGCCTCTGATGAGACATGTTTCTTCTTGAAGTCAGGATGTAACACTTTGACGTTTACTTTAAGCAAAAAAAAAAATCTAAATAATTTACATTTAGAAATGTAAAATATTATAGAAGAGCCGTACTGAAGCCCTTGACCGAATGAACTGCATTCTCTGTGTATTTTTATATAAATGAACAGATTCAGACACCAAAAATACGACTACTTTCTAGTAGTTTTTTAGCGTTTCATAAAAACATACCAACATGGACTCGGCACAAACACAGCGTACCTTGCGTTCCCACGATCTCCATGTGCAGGTGCGCCAGGCCGCTGGCTGTGGACAGAGACAGCTTGATCATGCCCTCCACCGTCACTGTGTAGCGGTTCAGATAGTCGAACAGAGAGCCGTGCTCGTGATAGTCCGACACCAGCCACAGCTGCGTCCACGTGCCGTTATCTGAGACGAGAACAGAGCCGTTAGACAGACCTCCACAAACACCAAGCCTGAGACTGTTCAGCACAGGACACTCAGGAAGACTAAATAAACACTGTCAGGTGTCAGATGCATGCATTCGGCAGGTAAAATATCAGGCGAAAAAAACACACACATTTACTGATTCATTTGAATCTGATTCTGATTCAGTTAGTTTCTCGGTGGTTACAGGTAACCTGCAGAGTCACATGTGTAACTACTGTAAAATCAATCAATTACAATCGAGTAGGGATGCACAGATATGGACATTTTGGCCGATATTTTTTTTTATATTTGAAAGCCGATAACCGATATATCGGCCGATAATTCTGAATCTTCCGATTTATTAAATGTATCTTGAAACTGATGCACTTATTGAACAGTCTTATCAATAATTAGCCTATTATTATTATGTATTGTTTGGGTGTGCACCTTACATAATCACCATATTTACAATGAAACAAATGAAAACTTATTAATCTTCTCATATGTGTCCCTGCAGCACAAAAGCAGTGTTAAGTCGCTGGGGGATATTTGTAGCAATAGCCAACAATACATTGTATGGGTCACAATTATACATTTCTCTTTTATGACAAAAATCATTAGGATATTAAGTAAAGATCATGTTCCATGAAGATATTTTGTAAATTTCCGACCGTAAATATATCAAAACATAATGTTTGATTAGTAATATGCATTGCTAAGAACTTCATTCGGACAACTTTAAAGATGATTTTCTCAATATTTAGATTTTTTTGCACCCTCAGATTCCAGATTTTCAAATATAAAACCAATAAACACCGTCGCTGCATCTGCACGTCATAACACTAACTCTGTAAACTGCGGCTGCAATAAAATGGTCAAAACCAAACGATATAAGCATAAGAAATCATCAATAACATGCACAACAAATACTAATCAGAAATAAAAATATATATATCATATCGTGCATCCCTACAATCACAGTAAGACCCATACTCTCGTCCCAGCATGCACCAGTGCTGCTGACCTTTGTTGTCGGCGGCGATGAAGCCGAGGATGTTCTCGTGCCGCAGCATCACGGTCTGGTAGATCTCAGCCTCGCGGAACCAGGAGCGCTCCTCTCTGGAGGAGAAGATCTTGACGGCCACCTCCTCTCCTCTCCACTTGCCCCTCCACACCTCCCCGAAGCGGCCCTTCCCGATGCTGTCCTGCAGGATGATGGTCCTGGCGATGGTCCGCTGCACCAGCAGAGGAAGCCCTGCACCAGAGCACGCACACACAGCTGTTACTGAACATACTGGACCTACAACATCCAGACAGATTCTGCTCATATATCAACCTTCTTTTTCCTTTTGCACTCTATGAATATCAATAAATCAATAAATAAATATGGACTTTCCTCATTACTGGTTATTTGATTAATTTGATCAAGTAGCATATTTTGATATATATATATATATATATATATTTTTTTTTTTTTTTTTTTTTGACAACTTCAATAAATTGTTGCAAATATACGCTAACGATCAAAAGTTTGGGCTCGGTAAGATTTTTAATGTTTCTGAAAGAAGTCTCTTCTGCTCACCAAAGCTGCTTTTACTGCATTAAACATGCAACGACAAAAACAGTGAAATATTATTATAATGTAAAACAGCTGTGTTCTGTGTGAATCTCTGTTAAACTGTAATGTATTTCTGTGATGTGCAGCTGTATTTTCAGCATCATTCCTCCAGTCTTCAGTGTCACATGATCTTCAGAAATCAGTATAATATGCTGATCTGCTGCTCGAGAAACATTTCTGATTATTATCAATGTTGAACACAGTCGTGCTGCACAATATTTCTGTGGAAACTGTGATGCATTTTATTTTTCAGGATTCACAGATGAACAGAAAGCTCAGAAGAACAGCATTTATTTGAAATAGAAATCTTTTGTAACATTATAAATGTCTTTACTGTCACTTTTCATCAATTTAATGCATGGGGTATCTGCCGTCACAGCAGACCTGATCACACCCTGCACTAAACTCAGACGGCTCACGTCAGGACGAATGGATCTCAATCCACAAACGAGTGCTAAACAGTGTCCTGAGGATCAGTGAATAAAGCCAGTTTCTGATACACTGATCTACAGCAGCAAGAAAGTGGAATGAATAATAGCAGAAAGGGGAGAAAAGCGAATCATTTGTGTGATTAGCTCTGCGAACCGCTTCAGGAGAAGTTAAAGTGCTGTCATTACCGCCGAACACACGCAGACAGACGTCACACATTCTCTCTGAAGCGTCCTGCAACACGCACTGTGTTTTTAAATGTCATGTCACGTTAAACGTATTGATTTTGAACATTTGCACATTCATAAGAAAGATCTGATAATATATGTGAGCCTGCAGCACAGAAGCAGTGTTGAGTCGCTGGGGGATATTTGTAGCAATAGCCAACAATACATTGTATGGGTCACAATTATACATTTCTCTTTTATGCCAAAAATCATTAGGATATTAAGTAAAGATCGTGTTCCATGAAGATATTTAGTAAATCTCCTACTGTAAATATATCAAAACTTAATGTTTGATTAGTAATATGCATTGCTAAGAACTTCATTTGAACAACTTTAAAGATGATTTTCTCAATATTTAGATTTTTTTGCACCCCCAGATTCCAGATTTTCAAATATTGTCCTCTCCTAACAAACCATACATCAATGGAAAGGTTTGTTAGACACACACACACACACACACAGTCTTAGAGGAGTTAAAGCCTGGTTACACATGCAGACGTGTGAAAAGTTGTTGTAATTAAAATTCTAATTGGAATGAAAGTCTGTTGAGACTGACACAAACATGCACATGCCGTTACTGCGACGCTTTTCCTAACCTCTTTTACTTCACACTGCAACAACAAACCACAAACCACAACTACCAGTACAGTATTCACACTTTTGGCCACATGACTAGGTGGCGCTCACGAGCAGACTGTTATGCCAAGTGAACAGAAGAGGAGGAATCCAGAACTGGACTCAGACTGGAAGAATCAAGACTCTTTCCGTGAACTGGCTCTCCTGGCCAGCTGTTCAAATACCTGATTCACTAAGCAATCACGCAGTGATGCGATGATAATGATGTGAAACGTGTCTAAAGCACATAAAGTGAATAAACTAGTCTTAATCAACTCACCTTTATACATAAACCACATTACTACATTATTTATCATTAACAACGGAAAACACTAAAGCATTTATCAATCTTACGTTAATGTTGATTCCAACGTTTACTAATGCATTATATAAGTCAAAAGTTGTATCTGTTAATGTCATTTAATGAACCTGAGCTGACATGGACTAACAATGAACAGCTGTTTTTATTAACTAAAGTTAACAAATGCGGTAACAAACATACTGCTCATTGTTAGTTAATGTTAGTGAATGCATGGGTCCGTACAGACATACTGTACACGTGTTGGTGTGAACACGCCCTGCTCTTTTCAGATAAGTGCATCTTTACACTGGCAGCCGGTGTTTAATGCCTGTCGTGCAACGATGCTGGTGACACACAGAGAGAAGAGCAGACACGCAGACACATAAAAGAGCGCAGGTGCTCAGAAAGACAAACACGTAATTATATGAAGTGAAAAGCGTGTAAATAAAGCAAGAATAACAGGAATCTCCAGGAACGCTTCTCGTCAGTCACACATGGGCGTAAAGACACGACTCGATACCTGAAACACGTACTGAGCCGAGCATTCGCTACAAGACAGAAAACATTCAGAGCAGCGATGCTCAGGGAGCAAACTAATAAAATATCAATATTTAAAAACACTTATTTTTACTTCAGCTAGGCAACATTTCTTATATTTAAGGTATCTTTGAAAACAACAAAAGCTAAAAAAAAATTACTAAAACTAAAAGTAACACGAAAGCAGAAAAAATCAAATCAAATTCAAAATATTAACTAAATATTAATATTAACTATAATAGTATCTCAATGATAGAAAAATAAATTAAGCTGAAATGAAAATATAAATATTATATGAAAAATCTAAACTTAAACATATCAGTTAGTTGCCAAGACACCACATATATATATATATAAAGTGCTAAAACTACTAAATATAAAAAATAAAAAGCTAAATAGAAATATAAAAAATGACAAATGCACATGCAATTACAAAAATATAAAATTACAAAAACTAAAAAAAATTAAAAGATAATTAAAAATATTAATAAATACTACATTAGTATATCAACATTGTCGACATTTCAGATTTTAAGTATTAAAACTACTAAAACTGAAATAAAAATAAAAGCTAAATAGAAAAATGTAAAAACGAAAAAAATGAAAAATGCACATAAAACTACTCAAACTAAAAAGATTAATAAATAATATCACAGTGTGTATATGATTTGTAGTGTCCTGTTGTGTGTGTGTGTGTGTGTGTGTGTGTGCGTGAGTGTGTGTGCGTGCGTTTGTGTGTGTGTGTGCGTGTGAGTGTGAGTGTGTGTGTGTGTGTGTATGTGTGTGCATGTGTGTGAGTGTTTGTGTGTGTGTGTGTGAGTGTGAGTGTGCGTGTGTGTGAGTGTGTGTGTGTGCGTGAGTGTGTGTGCGTGCGTTTGTGTGTGTGTGTGCGTGTGAGTGTGAGTGTGTGTGTGTGTGTGTATGTGTGTGCATGTGTGTGAGTGTTTGTGTGTGTGTGTGTGAGTGTGAGTGTGCGTGTGTGTGAGTGTGTGTGTGTGCGTGAGTGTGTGTGCGTGCGTTTGTGTGTGTGTGTGCGTGTGAGTGTGAGTGTGTGTGTGTGTGTGTATGTGTGTGCATGTGTGTGAGTGTTTGTGTGTGTGTGTGTGAGTGTGAGTGTGCGTGTGTGTGAGTGTGTGTGTGTGCGTGAGTGTGTGTGCGTGCGTTTGTGTGTGTGTGTGCGTGTGAGTGTGAGTGTGTGTGTGTGTGTGTATGTGTGTGCATGTGTGTGAGTGTTTGTGTGTGTGTGTGTGAGTGTGAGTGTGCGTGTGTGTGAGTGTGTGTGTGTGCGTGAGTGTGTGTGCGTGCGTTTGTGTGTGTGTGTGCGTGTGAGTGTGAGTGTGTGTGTGTGTGTGTATGTGTGTGCATGTGTGTGAGTGTTTGTGTGTGTGTGTGTGAGTGTGAGTGTGCGTGTGTGTGAGTGTGTGTGTGTGCGTGAGTGTGTGTGCGTGCGTTTGTGTGTGTGTGTGCGTGTGAGTGTGAGTGTGTGTGTGTGTGTGTATGTGTGTGCATGTGTGTGAGTGTTTGTGTGTGTGTGTGTGAGTGTGAGTGTGCGTGTGTGTGAGTGTGTGTGTGTGCGTGAGTGTGTGTGCGTGCGTTTGTGTGTGTGTGTGCGTGTGAGTGTGAGTGTGTGTGTGTGTGTGTATGTGTGTGCATGTGTGTGAGTGTTTGTGTGTGTGTGTGTGAGTGTGAGTGTGCGTGTGTGTGAGTGTGTGTGTGTGCGTGAGTGTGTGTGCGTGCGTTTGTGTGTGTGTGTGCGTGTGAGTGTGAGTGTGTGTGTGTGTGTGTATGTGTGTGCATGTGTGTGAGTGTTTGTGTGTGTGTGTGTGAGTGTGAGTGTGCGTGTGTGTGAGTGTGTGTGTGTGCGTGAGTGTGTGTGCGTGCGTTTGTGTGTGTGTGTGCGTGTGAGTGTGAGTGTGTGTGTGTGTGTGTATGTGTGTGCATGTGTGTGAGTGTTTGTGTGTGTGTGTGTGAGTGTGAGTGTGCGTGTGTGTGAGTGTGTGTGTGTGCGTGAGTGTGTGTGCGTGCGTTTGTGTGTGTGTGTGCGTGTGAGTGTGAGTGTGTGTGTGTGTGTGTATGTGTGTGCATGTGTGTGAGTGTTTGTGTGTGTGTGTGTGAGTGTGAGTGTGCGTGTGTGTGAGTGTGTGTGTGTGCGTGAGTGTGTGTGCGTGCGTTTGTGTGTGTGTGTGCGTGTGAGTGTGAGTGTGTGTGTGTGTGTGTATGTGTGTGCATGTGTGTGAGTGTTTGTGTGTGTGTGTGTGAGTGTGAGTGTGCGTGTGTGTGAGTGTGTGTGTGTGCGTGAGTGTGTGTGCGTGCGTTTGTGTGTGTGTGTGCGTGTGAGTGTGAGTGTGTGTGTGTGTGTGTATGTGTGTGCATGTGTGTGAGTGTTTGTGTGTGTGTGTGTGAGTGTGAGTGTGCGTGTGTGTGAGTGTGTGTGTGTGCGTGAGTGTGTGTGCGTGCGTTTGTGTGTGTGTGTGCGTGTGAGTGTGAGTGTGTGTGTGTGTGTGTATGTGTGTGCATGTGTGTGAGTGTTTGTGTGTGTGTGTGTGAGTGTGAGTGTGCGTGTGTGTGAGTGTGTGTGTGTGCGTGAGTGTGTGTGCGTGCGTTTGTGTGTGTGTGTGCGTGTGAGTGTGAGTGTGTGTGTGTGTGTGTATGTGTGTGCATGTGTGTGAGTGTTTGTGTGTGTGTGTGTGAGTGTGAGTGTGCGTGTGTGTGAGTGTGTGTGTGTGCGTGAGTGTGTGTGCGTGCGTTTGTGTGTGTGTGTGCGTGTGAGTGTGAGTGTGTGTGTGTGTGTGTATGTGTGTGCATGTGTGTGAGTGTTTGTGTGTGTGTGTGTGTGAGTTACCGGAGCCAGAGCCGGATGTGGTCATGTCGTAGATCAGGTCTTTGAGTGTGGTTCCCACTGTGATGAAGGGGTGGTCCATGGAGGGGTCTTCCTCGTTAGGCACGCGGTGGTGGAGGACCGAGCGGCTGTGGCAGATGTAGAAGATGGTGACCATCAGGAAGCACACCACACACACGGGCCCCGCGATCAGGGCCGCGAACGCTACGGGCCCCAACACCGCTGGCTTCTGCGTTGGCACTGAACAAGAGAGCAGGAGAGAGACGTCAGAAAACACGAGCAGAGAAACAGACGCCTGCTGTCTCCGCAGGGGCCCTTCAGTTCAGACCTTTAGGAGTGCATTACATCAAATTAGCTGTTTTTCTTTAATACAGGGTTTGTAAAAAAAAAAAATTCAGTAAATGAAATAAAGCTAAAGTAATATAAAATAATTAAATATTCGCATAAAATAAAATATGAAATTTTAGATGAAAATAATTCGATATAAATTATAATATTTAAAAAAAAATTGATAAAGTTAGTTGCCAAGGCAACACTTATATTTTTGTTTAAGTTTAGGTACTAAAACAACTAAGTAAATACTAACTTAAACTAAAATTAATATGAAAACTTAAAATATAAATATAAAATAATAAATACTATAGCAATACTTAAATACTATAAAACTATAAAAGTTTAATAATAGTAGTAATATATAAATGATAGCACTGTACCCATGTGAATGTGGGAACAAATAGTGTAATACATTCGGAAGTTACATAATAGCAGCCAATCAGATCAGAGATTTCCAGAAAGTGTGTTGAGGTTTGTGTGTAATACGGTCAGCTCTAAACCGAGCGTTCTGAGAGCGAGAGCGAGTTTCGGTGAACGTTTCGATCTCTCAGCGGCTCAGGTGGCATATCGAGTGAAGACACACAATGAGTCCGTGTCACGCAGAAACACACGAGTCACTTCTGAGCGTTTCTTCAGAAGCCTCGTCTCTCACAGAGGAGACAGACGGAGAGGAAGAGTGAAATTAGAGGCGTGACGTGAGTCTGGCTGGAGCACGACTGAGCACAACCACAAACTACTGTAAAACCAGCACAGCATATCTGAACGTCTCGACGCCTGCGAGCGCCACAGACGCCAGACACTTTCAGTATCATTTCCCTCGAGGCGATCAGGAACTTCACATGAGCTCTGCTGCTTACAGCACACGAGAACACAAACACCAGTCTGCAGATCGTTCCGTTCAGTCTAGTACTCAGACACTACGGAGTCTAGGCTAAATCGTGCACACAATTTATTAATTTTTTCTTGCATGTCATGTGCGGGGCTCCGTAAGACAACAATTTTGTGTAAAATAAATGTATTTCATTAGATGTAAATTAACTGTAACATTTAATACATTTAATAAATAATCTGTATATTCTCATATTATATGTGTATAAACTTTAATAAATAACATGAGTGTGTGTATGTGTGTGTGTGTGTGTGTGTGTGTGTGTGTAAATTTTAAAATGTTATTTAAAACAATATTTAATATTTTAAAATATTTATTTTTTTATCATTTGGCAGAACACACGGAAACAGAATTGTGCGATATAATCTCAAAATAAATATTCACAAATACCATTTTAATTTTTTTCCCCATGATGGGAACAAATTTTCATACAAACACAAATCAAAAGTGTTTAATTCATGTTTAAAAATAGTTAAATATAACAAGGTAATAACTCATTTTTAAGTGTAACTTAATTTAAAATTGATAAAAATTTGAATGTATTTTATTGTTACATTGAACAAATTAAGCATGAATTAAATAAGCTGCTTAAATTGTCTATTTAGACAGTGTTATTTTTTAAATAATACACAAATTATTTTCTCCATTTTATTTGTAAGTGGCAATCTTTTCATTTTAAAAGCACTACGTGCTATCAACATGTTAATTAAAGTACCACTTATTCAAAATCAAAGCTAATTAAAAAAGTCAACCTTACTAATTTACTGGTTGTCCCATCTCTACTAGAGACATGAACAATATGGCAAGACACGTTAATAAAATGCCTTTGCGGCTGAATCTTGACATTTATGTGGATATCTGGCTCTGTGCGGCTCACGAACACAAGGTTTATCAGGCAACTGTTCACAAGCGCAAAAAGCCTTCAGAAGGTCCTCAAACATGTCGTTATAAAAGCCGCGGTACGGGCTAATCAGGGGCTTTCTATCGGATCTCGGCCACAAACACACACAAACACCTGCAGCGATGAACAGTGAGTGTTGAGCAACGCTGAGGTGTGTCGCTAAACAGCTGCGCTCTCAATGCATTCGCTTCCATTATCCTCTGCTACTTACTTAAGAAAAGAAAAGAAACCTTGAAAAAGCTGAGGACGTGCATGAAATCCAAAGGCAGCAGGACTCAAGCTGTTTGAATTCCATGTGTTGCTCAAGGTTTCTCTATTCTCTCCAGCAGCCTTGAACACTGAGAACAGTTATAGTGAGTCATTCAAACACAATTGTTTGAAAAATAAGTGACGTGGGTTTGCTAGAACAAGAAAGGGAACGGAGCTGTGAGCGTGTGCATCCCGCTGCCACTCTTAGCGCTAAACTATCCCTAGGATATCGCCACTAAATGCAATGTTACTCACTGTGCTCTGACATTTCTGCTCCTTTACGAACACATGCTTTGACTGAACAAACCAGACCTAAAACAAGTATAAAATAAACCAAAACTAAACAAACACAAACCAAACCGAAAAACAACACCAGCACAAAATAAACCAAAATTAGCACATAATCCAAAACAATCACAAAATAAGCACAAAACAAAAAAACAACAAAAAAACAAACAAACCAAAAACAAAATAAGCAACCAAACAAAATTAAACAAAACAAGCAGAAACCAAACCAAACACAAAGCACAAAATAAACAAAAACACAAACCACACCAAAACCAAAAACACAGTAAACTAAAAACAAAATTGATTAAAAAAAATCCAAACCAAAACAAAATAATGGGGGTGATTTTTAAGCTCTTATCTTTGTGTAGCAGCAGGAACCGAAGAGAAACACAAAACACAAATCTGTAAGATTATGCTTGTTTTGATTACATGTTCAGCTCTATATCTGACAAACAAGAGAATCACATCTCCTTTACACGATCTCACCCCAAACTATCCTCTGTGGTCTGTTTTGTGCTATAAAGCTTACGCTGAAGGAATCAAATATATAAGAAGTCTTCTCTAGAGAGTAATGATAGCTTCATGATACTGTTGATTATGAAGCGTTGCGGTAAAAACACTCGAAACTGGAAGAGCGTTTCTCTTTGTCTGCACTGGCTCTCCTTTGTTCCACAAGTCTGTCTGCAGCCGCAGGTAAACACAGCCGAGGCAATGAGTGCAGCGCTAATAACAGCCCTCACTTATTCATATGTATTTATAAATCCAAGCAACCGGGCTGGAAAGCAGAGCTGTCACTGTAGCAAAGACATGGCCTTATTCAAAAGGCGTTTATTTACGACAGGTGGGTGGTTCTCAGAGGAAAGGAGGCCTTGTTGAACAGCTCGAGGCTTTGCTGCGGATCCTGCTGTTCCTCTTCACATGTGCTTTACTGCCGGAGGACAGCGTGTGCTCGCACAGGAATCTCAGACTGGATATTTAGTCTGGTGGAAATACACTGACGGTTTGCTCTGACAAGGCAATCTAGTCTAAATGAATGTCTTGATTGCATACGGGAGAGGAAAAACAGAACCTGTCTAAACCAAGCTGAACATTAACAGTAGTGCGGCTGACTAGTGTTGGCATGTTTAGTTTCCACATTTAGCAGCGGTGTGTTTTAATTAATGTGCTGTGCTTTGGCTGGTAGATAGTTTGCACAGTAATTCATCCAACAGTTTTTTTTTTTTATAAATTTCTTTATTGATCAAGGATGCATTAAAAGGATCAAAAGTGCCAGTAAAGACATTTATAACGTTACAGAAGATTTCTATTTCTAATAAATGCTGCTCTTTTGAACTTTCTGTTCATCTGTGAATCCTGAAAAATAAAATGCATCACGGTTTCCACAGAAATATTGTGCAGCACGACTGTGTTCAACATTGATAATAATCAGAAATGTTTCTCGAGCAGCAGATCAGCATATTATACTGATTTCTGAAGATCATGTGACACTGAAGACTGGAGGAATGATGCTGAAAATACAGCTGCGCATCACAGAAATACATTACAGTTTAACAGAGATTCACATAGAACACAGCTGTTTTACACTGTAATAATATTTTACAATTTTTACTGTATTTTTGATCAAATAAACAGCCTTGGTGAGCAGAAGAGACTTCTTTCAGAAACATTAAAAAATCTTACCATCCCCAAACTTTTAAATGCTATTGTATATTCCAATTTAGTTTATAATGATCAATTAACGTTCCTGTGGTTTGTGGCAAATTTAATTTAAATTGTAACTCGTGAATTGAATGGAAGCCAATTCTTCACTTCTATATTTCGCCTGACATGCATTAAGAAGGTGACATCAGTCAGTCATGATTTCATGTCGACTTCACAATGTTTTTAATATGAATGTATCTGAGCAGAAGAATCAGTGGATCATGGCGAGATCTGCTGGTTTTCACCCATCGAGCTCAGCATGTCGACGGCCTGCAAACATCTGCACAGCTCCATATCACCCGAATGAAACATCACAGAAAAAGATCTCTGATCCGTCGTCTACTGTCTGACTATCAGCCTGAATGGATCCTTGCACGGTTCCCAGGCGTGTGTAAACACTGAGTCAGTGTTTGGCTCAGCCGTGCTCACACGCTCAGTCTGCTGCAGGACGCCGGCGCTCCAAAGACAGGGCTATTTTGGGAAGGGTCAGCACACAGAGATGGGCGCTGCTGGGAGGCAAAGCGGGGAAATGATTCACACGACCAAAACAAAACCTACAGCCAAACTTAACCAGGGATTGAGGACTGAATGTGCAGAGTGTTACTCCAGTCAACATGAAATCAGCGCTTTAATGCACTTGAGCAAAAGTGCTTTACTCCAGCGCATTACTCCAGAGTACTACTCCAGTGCATTACTCCAGAGTACTACTCCAGCTCTTTATTCCAGAGTACTACTCCAGTGCATTACTCCAGAGTACTACTCCAGCTCTTTACTCCAGAGTACTACTCCAGTGCATTACTCCAGCATATTAATCCATCACTTTACTCCAGCGCATTACTCCAGAGTACTACTCCAGCTCTTTACTCCAGAGTACTACTCCAGCTCTTTACTCCAGTGCATTACTCCAGAGTACTACTCCAGAGTACTACTCCAGTGCATTACTCCAGCATATTA